AAAAAAAAAAAAAAAAAAAAAAAAAAAAAAAAAAAAAAAGGAAACGATACTGACACCACCACCAGCACAAACCCAACGGGCTCCATCCCTCATCGCCAGAAGCCCGACCTACACCAAGACCCAGCTCATGAACCCACTCTTCCGCGCCGTCTGCGACCACTTCCTCACCTCCCGCCGATGGTACTGGTGGGGCGACGAGAAGAAACTCTCCGTGTCCAAGCCCTACGTGCATTCCTGCGTGGCGATGCGCATCGGGCCCGGCGGCACGGCCCAGCCCCTGCACCGGGACGACTACATCAGCCATCGCTGGCACCAGGAGATCGGGCAATGGGACGATCTCCGCGACGCCGAGCGCGAGGCCTCCGTCGGCTTGTTCGTGGCCGGATGCCGCGTCACCAAGGAGAACGGGGGCACGGCGTTCATCCTGAGGAGCCATCTATGGTAAGCATTCTCGAATCCTGCCCGCGCCCCGGGCCTAAACATTGACAACCCCTTAACTCATCAGGGGTTCCGACCGGACGACTCCCCCCAAAGTGGAGCAGTGTATCTACGCCGACATGGAGAAAGGCGATGGTTTCATCATGCTGGCGTCCGCGTACCACGGCGGAGGCGCAAATGTCACCCAAGACGAAAAACGCTTGATGTTCGCCACCTTCATCATTCGGGGTTATCTGCGCCAGGAGGAGAATCAGTTCCTGGCCGTGCCGGCCGATGTCGCCCGCAGCTATGACCGGGAGGTCCAGGAGTACATGGGGTATACGATGAGTGAGCCGGCGTGCGGCTGGGTCGAGCAGCTGGATCCGATCTACCACCTGCGCCCGGAGTTGAAGGAAGATGAGCGACCGACGGATTTCTAGCCCCGGTCTAGGACTTGTGGAGAGTGTATATACATGATAGCGACGGTGGTGAGGGTGACTGTGCAAGGAGTGTTTTCAAGTCCGTTTGTGGTTACTAAGCCCTCCTAGCAAGGAAACTTGATTTCTCGATCAGGTGATCATACCAAGCCAAGCCTAAAGTCAGTCTTATGTGCACCCAGCTTCCCCTACCGCGGTCGCATCATAATCTCCCAGGATCAACAATTTGATCTATCGTCATCGATGCGGCTTGCAGCAACAAAAGTACGTATGCAGCTGGACCTAAAGGGAAATGCGCTGTCCTGTCACGTTGGGTTCGCCTCCGTGACAGCGCTTAGATATCAAACTAGAGGATTTTCGGGAATGGTCGATGGGAGCGGTGGAGATGCGGCGCATACTTCCCAACTGGGCAATGCCTCCCACTGCAGTGCCGTGCTGTAGCCCCAATTCTTGTGATGGCTTCAATCGATGGCAGAGCAGCAGAAACGGCTTGTATCGAAGTGAGGCATGATATAAGTATCAGGGAAGAACAAGTGAGGATCTCTCAGCACTCACGCAAGGAGAATGCCTTCCCGCGAGAACCGTACGCAGTTAACTATCCAGCCTCCCGCCAATTCGGCTGGGGAAACTGCCATTGTGACTGGCTCTTCCGGGCTTTATGATACCCGTGTTTCTTACTGAGAAGACCTTACTGATAGTGCGATGCCGAAGATGCATTGGAGCCGGAGTTGCGTCGGAGCTAGGACGTCGCGGTGCGGCCGTGATTATCACTGATAGCTTGGAGCGTTCTGCCGATGCAGCTCATCGTGTGGTAGAGTAGTTGACTGACTCGTTTCTGGGCCACCAAGTTAGGTTAGTCGCGAGGAATGACTGCAGAGAGTGTAATTACTATAAGTACCGGTCCGACCGCCACGGAGCAGATCCACAACAGTGCGCCGGTATCTAGGGAGGCCATGAAACACATGATTCAAGCGACGCCAGCAGATGCAAGGATGGGGAAGGATGGGAAAGGTGAACGATATTATACCATTGGTCGGGTATGAGCCCTTCAACCGGAAAGGGCATATACCTGCCAGTTTGTTTTCACACACCAGATGCAACTGGCTGATCACATTGTCAGCCTTATATATTCGGAGGAGAACTAGAGGAAGTGCCTGGGGCGGCATGGGGGGCTTGCTCTTGTTTAAACAAGGCAGGGCATGCATCCATTAGCAGGGTTTCCCAGTCACAAGAATTGCCTTGGAACCCCACCATAGAGCATTGTGAATGGCCAGTCCTTATGATCAACGTATAATCTCGAACGATCATATTGAATAAATCGCGACAAGCCCCACTGCAGTGGCCGGGGCTGGCTGTGTCGTGTCCCTTCTGTTCATATGTACTCTCGATTGCCATCTTCTATACACACACCAAAGCACATTCTATTTTGTCCGGATGTTTGCGCGAAAAGGAGTATCAAGTCTATTGCAAGCTCACCCGCTGAATGCTATCCCATGGGACAGATCCAGCATGCGGGACCTGTCGCAAGAAGTGCCGCAAATGCGACCGGGCACGCCCCTCTTGTCGGAGGTGTCAGGTCAAAGGTCTCCCGTGCGAAGGCTACCCACCAAAATACATCATCCTCGAGGAGCCGTCTTTACAACGACATCAACGTGCTGAGAACCCCGGCCCTGGTCAACACACCAGTTCAGATACCTCGACTGCTGGTGGCTGGCCCTTGACAAGCACTGTCGAACTTAGTGATACTAAATTGTACTCAGAGCAGAATTCAGGGACCCGCCATGATGATATCCTGGCCATATCGCAGCCCTCATCGACGGAGCCAAGGTCATCAAAAGGCTCCTCACGAGGGATGCAACGAACTCGGCGCCAACACCTATCCAACCTTCTGCCAGAAAATTCGCGAAGAATTCATGAAACTCTCAATTCAACGCGCAATCAAAGTTTGCTTCTTTACTGTATGGAAGGCGAATCTTTGGTCACTTTCAGTCGCTAATGTGAAGTGCGATCAGTCGAGACGAGGGTCTGCAGCGCCCTGGCAATCGAGGCCGGCCAAACCACGAATCCATACAGAGCGTATATTCTTCCTCTGGCACACCGAGATCTTGGGACGCTCCATGCAGTCTTAGCGCTCGCATCATGCCACCAACACTCCTTAGAAACTCAGAGGTCGGCGAACAAAAGAAATTCTGCCGCGATGATTGAGCACCAACTCGCTGGGATGCAGTCACTTGGCTCCCTGCTGATCAGAGAGGAATTGTACGGGCTCAACACGGAAGAGGTCGATATCCTTCTCGTCACGGTACTCCTCCTTGTTCTCTACGACGTGAGTCCCCATTTACCCTCTGTCGCTCGAAAGTATCCTTATGGGATTAGATATCTGAGTCGGGAATTTCCTCACATGGGGTGCATCTAACCGGCACCGCCTACATCTGCCGCAAAATCTGCCAACAACCGACAGCAACGGTTTCCCCACCTACGGCTTTCCTGATAACCACCCTAGCCTGGTAGGTTCAGCCCCCATGTATTGTGACGCCATTGGTCGGCTGCTGAAGCAAGCTCAAAGGCAGGCTGGATCTACTCCGAGGGTTCAGCGGGGCCGAGAAATTGGCCTACGATGACGGCACACACCAGCACATCCGAGAGTTCGACCACATCAGCCTTTCCGAAACGATCGGATGCCCCGGCGAGCTCTTCTACCGCATCAGCGGGATCATCAACTCTGGTCAACAATACTTGGCCGGAACGCTATCTTTGTCCGAGTTTGAGCACATCCTGGGAGGCCGCGGAACGATTCTTTCGAACTTGGGACGCCGATGACGAGAAGAGAGCTGCCCTAGGTTCTGAACAAAAGGCCCTCGCTGAGGCGTACCGCCACACGTGTATCATCCGCGTCCTACGCTTCCCCGACACTTGGCGGATTCCATGCGAGGGCCCAATGATCGCAGCGTCAGTTGTGGGGATCCTCGACGCAGCCGCCAGCATCCCCACAGCATCGCCCTGGTTCAAGCGGCTCCTGTTCCCGCTGTTTATCGCGGGCGCCGAAACGTCCGTGCCGCGCCAGCAGCGGTTTGTGGAGATGTGCATTGGTGAGATCAAGCGGACGACGGGGTCTCAGCATGTCGCTATGACCGAGATCCTGGGCAAGGGGTGGGAGGAGAGGTCGCGACAGGTGGACCGGTCTCGAAATGTGCCTTGGATGGAGTATGTAAGTGCTGTTCTTGTGCGTGTTGCGCTTCTCGGGTGATTTGTCGTAGACTCCAATCGGGGTATAGACGTGCTCGGAGGATCTAGTCCGGCAACATGATTATCTCTTCTTCGAGTCGATGCTTGTCGGCATTGGTGCCAATTGCGGGAGTTGCCTTCGGCTTGTACTTAACAGACTGCGCATCAAATCAATCTACACTTGGATTGCGTCTCTGGGGCGATCTTTCATTACAGACCAATGTTAGTGGAGCCTAGGCTGTCTATTTTGTATGTGGCAACCAATCGTGATTGAATAAAAACCGATCACCTGGGCTGAATTGTACTCCACAAAAACCGCTGGCAGGTGCCGAGGAATCCTATCGCGATACTCGTACGCATGTCCGGTTTGGGCAAGCGATACGAAGTCCGACAACAATATCACCATTGCATGCACGAAACCGCGGACGTGAGTGCAGATTTCTATTTCTATCAATGTCTGCCTATTGGACTTGACACTCAGAGAGAGAAAGATTTGTAGTCGCGTAGTCACAAACACAGATAATGGTCCACGTATATAAAGCATGCCATTCTCGAACAAGCATTCTAATTTCCTCACCACACATCTACACCCAAGTTACTACCTATCACCCTCAAAACAGCACACCCCAAAGCCATGATCAACCTTGCCCTCGACAACCACCCGCGCCTCAAGCTACGCCTGCACATTATAATCGGCTGTCTAATCACCCTAACCTTCATCCTGATCATCGCCCGGGTCGCCGACAAAGGCACCCCGCCGACGCGGACTAATACCTGGGGCATCGCAGTAGTGAGGGCTCCCTCCACCCGCGCACCCATGCCGAATCCCACCCATATCAATTCTAACAACAGATTCACGCAGTGCCTAAAAGCCGCCCTCTTCCTAGCCTACCAAACCCTCACCACCTACCACGAGCGCTTCAAACGATGGGCCAGCCCCCGCGCCAACATGATCCTGGACATCATCGACACGATCTTCTGGTTTGCCTTGTTCATTATCAGCATCATGGGCGCGAGTGGGGGGCATAGTACGAGCAGTAAGGCGCTGGGTGGGGTGGTGGCCGTGCTGGCGCTGGGATTGTGGTGAGTCTTTTAGAATTCTTCTCCTGGTGGTGGGCGGGGTGACTTATCAGGACGGTACAGTGGGGTGGTTGGATTGTTGGCCTTTGTGTGTGTGCAGGATTGGAGGTATTTCAAGGTGCATGGGGTTGTGCCGGGGGTGGTGAAGTCGCCTTGTTGAGGAGGGGGGGAGGGGGGTGAAACTACGACGAGAATGTAGGGTATGAGATGCGGAAATGATTGAAGATTGGAACGCCCCGCTTGATTTTCTGTACTGCCGTCGTCCAAATAGACTGGGTCGAGAGTAGACGAAGACCTCTCTCCATAGGATATTGAAGATGTTTGGATAAGATTCTCTTGTCTAAATGGAAGTGTGGCAGCCCGGATTCGAACGCGGGTCGACTCGGTTGCTCACGTGACTGTGGTACTCAGCACGTACAGTAATGTGTAAGTTACAGTATTGCCACTCATGGCGTGTAGAAGTATGAGTATCAGTAAGTATCGATACGCACACTCTCTGCCCCCCACACAGTGATCCACAGTGATCGGAGAGATAAACACGGAAGGAAATGAGGTCTGGGTCAATGAAATCATCGTCAGACCGTCGATCTGCAAACAGACCATGCGAAGTGACCGATCCGCCACCTGCAGCCCGATCGGTGGGCTACGGAGCCATCTGGAACGTATGGCCCATCCACTCCCCAACTCTATCCACATACTGGTGAAGCCTAGATGACCTCATGTAGTGGATTTAGTGTTTGCGAGACAATGACTGAACAACAACCACCTGAAATATTGGAAGTATTAAACAGAGAACGTGGCCCAGGATTTATTTCTTTTAGCGCTTTCAGTGAGGAATGTTCCCGTACACTTCAACACCCTGATATTAGAGCAACAGCACACCATCGCCAAAATGAAAGACTTGGTTAGTCCCGGCTGCAGCCATTCGAAGTTTGTTCTTTCTACTAACCTTTTCTAATCGAGAGTAAGACTTTCGATGTTCGCTATGACAATGAGTTGGCCCATGATTACTATGGGGAAGGGTCCAAGCTGGCGAACAAGTAAGGCCAAGCCAGCCATCAAGCACTAATGAGATAGTCAGTGTTCATTAGTGAGTGAGCTGCTGATCTGAGCGGTCGTCCCTTAGTCTTCGACAGATCTACAAAGCCAAGAACCTGCAAATCCCGGATGAGTTCGAGTCCACATCTACCTACCCGCCCATCCACTTCATGATGTAAGTCTGACCAGGTTGGCGGAGTGGCTGTGAGATAAAACTGACGGTGCTTAGGGTTTCTGCGCCGGACGATGTGGATGTGGATGGTCTCCGGCAGGTCAATGTGCCTCCGGGTCTGAATATTGAGATCATGGACTTCGAGGAGTGAAGAGGGCGGGGGGGCATTGCACAGATCACGGTACGCCCATCGGATAGGCGGCCAATTGTTTTTAGTTGTGATGGAGCAAGCCACATGTAGTTTGATGAATGAAATTGATGTGATTTTGTGATTTGTGATTTGTAATTCCTAGGTACCTACCTATGTATGCACCGAACCATTTACGGTCGACAGGGGAGTTAGCGTATGTTAGCGTGTTTTATCACTTTTTATCTCCCTACTAATAAACATTATTATTAAACTACACTCGTATCTAACTAACTAGCCTTAAGTCCAAGCTCCCTCTCTCCTTTTTTCTTTCCAACTCCACCTCCCCGGGGTAAGACCCGCTGAAGCCACCCACTGTGACACACTATCATGTCTTCCACCCCATCGTCGTCATCCTCACTATCATCCTCAACTCTCTATGACACAAACCATAAAAGACGCAAGATTCGAAAAGGGACCTTTTCCTGCTGGGAATGTAAGCATCGAAAGAGACGATGCATCTTCGAGCCCGCCAGCAACCCCAGCTGTGTGTATTGCGACAGCCGAGGGCTGCAATGCATTAGCCAAGCCTTTGCCGATCCATCCAGCAGCGACAACAACTATGAGCAGGTTGAGGACCGAATCCAGTACATCGAATCGCTCGTGGACCATCTACTTCGCCAGCGAAAGAATGCCCCTCCAACCAAATCACAGCGACAGGCTGCAGCGAAGATCTCAGGGGACAAGCCCCCCCTGTTGAGCCAGCACGGGCTCGATGCAGAAGCCGCCTCCTTTGCTGTCATCAACCCAGTTGGCAATTGGCACACACCCACTCGGTCGCTGGGCAGCTTTCTCCTCTCATATATTCCTCCCCCCTCCACTGCGTTCATGATTCTAACCAAGGGCAAATTGTTCTATTTTCCATTTACGCTTGTGCAGTCGCCCCGGGTAACCCGCCCACCGGCGACAATCGAAGCAGCGAAGCCCGATGCGGCCCTGGAACTGCCATCATCGACCACCCCACCGGTCGACCTGGCCCGTAAGCTGGTGCAGCTGGCTCTAGGACTGCAGCAACTCAGCCTGACATCCTCCCGCGAGGTACAGCTCCAACTGAGGGAATCACCGGGAGCCGCTGCCCAGCGCTATCTCACGGTCGCTAGTCGCCATGTCACCTCCGACAACGAGCTCGTCTGCTCACTGGAGGGGCTGGACACTCTCATGCTCGAGGCTCGCTATCACATCAACGCAGGAACCATGCGGTCGGCGTGGCTCATCTTCCGTCGGGCCCTCAGCGTGGCGCAGATGCTGGGCTACCCCCAGCGGCTCCAGCAAGCGAACCAGAAAACGCAGGCTCTCTTCTTCCGACTGGTGTATTGCGATCGGTTCTTGTCGCTCATCCTCGGTCTGCCTCTTTCGCTGTCGGACAACAGTTTCGCAGACGATCATTTCATGGCGAAGCTCTCGCCATTCGACAGACTGGAGCGCATGCATGTTGTTCTGGCGGGCCGAATCGCCGATCGGAACATGCGCATGCTGCCTCGCTTTGCCTCGATCGGACAACGGGAAGAAGTTGGATTCGATGATTACAAAGAGACCGACGACATCGACTACGAATTGAGGAAAGCGATCCGATATTTGCCGATCGCGTGGTGGGATCCGCCGGTGCTGGAGAACCAGGTGACCGAGGAGGAGAAAATGGGCGCCCTTGCTCAGATCATCACCCAGATGCATCACCATTACCTTCTCATCCTGCTGTATCAGCCATACTTTGTTCAACATCTGGGACGCTCCCGAGAGGCTGACAGCGTGATATCCGTCCTGTCGGCCGGGGACCATGGCTACAAAAAGCTCGCCATCCTCTCTGCCAGCCGGGAAGTGCTGACGCGATGCCTGGCCTTCCGAGATGAGCACCCGATGATGTCCTATCATGGGTTGGACAACAAGGCCTTCGTTGCAGCTACGGCTCTCTTGATCATCCATATCGACGGACATAATCTGGGTCGTGCGAATGCACTGGAGCACCAACGGCCCTTGGATCTGAGAACTGTCGACAACGTCACCGAGATGCTGGAGCAGCTCTGTGCACGGAACCACCTGACAAGCCCGACGATCGGCATCGTGCGCAAACTGCGAGTGATCGAGGAGGAGGCGGCGGACGGTGCGGAGTTTTACGTCTTGCGAGCCAACGAGGTCCCTGAGGCTGCGGAGTGCAGCCTGAAACTAGAGATCTCTTACTTTGGATCTTTCTGCATCCTGCGCCGGGCGGCCAGATCTGCTGCTGAGGTTCCGATGATGGCTGTGGCTGATCCTACTTCCATGTTCTTTGTCAACAACATCGGCTTTATTGGTGGAATGAACGACAATGCTCTTTTCTCGACTGCCAGTCAGACACAGGATCACCAGACCTACTCAGAGATGGATTTCTTCAATGCTTGGATCGGGACACGGGACAGCACTTTCGTGGTACCGGGATCTTACACTGGACAGCAATCTGCATCACAGCTGAATTAATTCTTATATGCCAATACAGACTGATTGATCTCTTATGTACTCTGGTCTCTCTTTGCAGACGGGAAGGGCTCCAACGGCGGGGTATTCGCAAAGTCATATCCTGTCAGCGCTTGAAACCGAATCCCAGCAACCTCCTTAGCCAACAGCCGAAGTGAGCGGTCCTCATCCCCCGAAATGGGGATTGAGACGCTTCCCAGGTTCTCGTCCAAGCGCTCGGGTCTCGTGGTTCCGGGAATCGCGAAGATGTCGTCGCCCTGCGCGAAGATCCAGGCCAGCGCCAGTTGCGCGGTAGTGACACCCTTCTGTTTGGCCATGTCGGCGATTCTGTCCACCACCGTCAGGTTCTTGACGATGTTCTTCTCATGCAGCCACGGCAAGACTCCCCGTGAATCGCCGGGCCGACTGACATCCTGGCGGGAACGCAGATTGCCACCCAACAGCCCATTTCCGAGCGGGCTGTACGCCACGATCCCCACCCCCAACTCCCGTGCGGTCTCCAGGAGTCGAATCGCGGGTGACTCGATGGCCAGACAGAACAGACTGTACTCCACCTGGACACAGGTGACGGGGTGCACGGTATGCGCCCGGCGCAGCGACTCGGCACTGCACTCGCTCAGCCCGATGAACCTGATCTTCCCCTCCTGCTTCAACTGCACCAGGGCTTCCATTGTCTTCTCGATGGGGGTGATCTTGTCCAAGCGATGGACATAGTACAGGTCCACATAGGGCAGGTCCAGGCGTTTCAGCGATCGTTCCAGCGACTGGCGGCAGTACTCGGGCGTCGAGTCCATCTTGTATCCGTGCGGCGACTCGGAGGAGGGGCGAATCCCGAATTTGGTGGCCAGGAAGACATTCTGGCGCTTGTCCGGGTTCGCCGCGAACCATTTCCCGAGGATCTCTTCGGACGCACCGTACTTATCGGCTGAAATGGTCGTCAGCAATTTCATTCCATTCCTGTCCATTTCACCCTCCTCGAGCTCTGTGCTACGGCATGCATCGCATCTGGAGCCACATACCGGTATCCCAAAACGTCTCGCCCTTGGCGTATGCCTCGTCCAGCAGTCTCAGCATCTTGTTCTCATCCAGCGGCATACCATACACGCCGCTGGCGCCCATCAGCCCCAGGCCTATGCGCGGAAGCAGAGGCCCGTGTCTGCCCAGCGGACGGGTCGGCAATTTGTCCGGAGTCGCCATTGTCGATGTTCAATGGGGGAGGCTTGGTTGGTGGTGAATCGATTCTGGAACACGGGCTCAACCGTCTTCAAGGGGTCTAACCGCACTGTTCGATATAAGACGTCGAGACAGCCGGCGATTGCGGTGGATATTGAGTCCCAGCTCCCTGTCGGTGATCTTATCTCCGCCGCTAACTCCACCGCTGTCTCCGGTGTTGAAATCTGGCCATCGCTGAGACGACCACCGCATTGGTAACTACCTAAGCCACCACGATCAGATATGATCACGATCTGTCGTTACTTGATGCCAGCACGATCAGCGACCGACTTCACGACAAGCGGGAGACTGACATGGTCAGCCACGCTCATCTCGAGTCACGTGAAACCAGCCATACACGCCAAGATGGACTACTATCTCAGGGTAGGGTAACACACGCTGCGCGGAGTGTAGCAACCCAGATGACAGAGTCGCTCAATGACACAGAGTCTGTGTCGCTCATATGAGCGAGAACCAACACGAGGCATATAACCAAGTCCGTCCTCCTGCGGGAGTGGTGAGGTCATCCCGGCGCACAGAGTTTCGGTACAACCACACTCTTATAAAGAAAGCCGGTCGCGAGCAGTGTCAACTTAACACAACACACAACCATTTTGACCTGTATACTAGCAAAGATGGTCCATCTTTCAGAAATTGCCAAGGAATCTCAAACCCACCGTCATCGGCGGGAGAAGCGTGAAGCGGAGGCATCCGAGGCGTCAGCCAATGTCTACGGGACACACTACGCGGTGGAGGAGCTGCCCGAGCATGCGATGTCGGAGCAGGAGATGCCGGCCAGCGTCGCATACCGGATGATCAAGGATGAGCTGAGTCTCGATGGCAATCCGCTGCTCAAGTAAAATGCCCTTCTCTGCACTTCGCTTGGAAGCGATGATAACCTTGTCGCAGTCTGGCGAGCTTCGTCACCACCTACATGGTCGGTCGCCCCCGGACGCACAGTGGGCCGCTGCGTTGCTAACTCACACACAGGAAGACGAAGTGCAAACCCTGATGTCGGACGCGATGAGCAAGAACTTCATCGACTACGAGCAGTACCCGCAATCGGCGCACATCCAGAACCGGTGTGTGAACATGATCGCGGGGCTGTTCCACGCCCCGACGACGGGACAGGCGGGGTCGGAGCAGGACGCGATCGGGACGTCGACGGTCGGGTCGTCGGAGGCGATCATGCTCGCGATGCTGGCGATGAAGAAGCGCTGGCAGAACCGGCGCAAGGCGGCGGGCCAGGACTGGTCGCGGCCGAACATCATCATGAACAGCGCGGTGCAGGTCTGCTGGGAGAAGGCGGCGCGGTACTTCGAGGTGGAGGAGAAGTACGTCTACTGCACCGAGACCCGGTTCGTCATCGACCCGGCCACCGCGGTCGACCTGGTCGACGAGAACACCGTCGGCATCTGCGCCATCCTGGGCACCACCTACACGGGCCAGTACGAGGACGTCAAGGCGATCAATGATCTGCTGGTCGCCAAAAATATCGACTGCCCGATCCATGTGGATGCCGCCAGTGGCGGGTTCGTCGTGCCGTTTGTGAAACCGGAGCTGGAATGGGACTTTCGATTGGAGAAGGTCGTCTCGATCAATGTCTCAGGCCATAAATATGGATTGGTAGGTCTGGCTGCTTACCTCGAACATACCGGATAGAGCTCAAACTTGACCAATCATGATGCTATTCAGCAAGGGACTTGACTTGAGTCGGTGGATTTAGTGCTGACACGGACTCTCTCTCTCTCCCCCACAGGTCTATCCCGGCGTCGGGTGGGTCTTCTGGCGTGCCCCGGAGTATCTGCCCAAAGAGTTGATCTTCAACATCAACTATCTCGGCGCGGATCAAGCCAGCTTCACCTTAAACTTCTCGAAAGGCGCCTCGCATGTCATTGGCCAATACTATCAGCTGATCCGACTGGGCAAGCATGGTTACCGCTCAATCATGACCAACCTGACTCAAATCGCCGACTACCTGACCTCGGAGCTGGGGAAACTGGGCTTCATCATCATGAGCGAGGGCAACGGCCGCGGTCTTCCCCTAGTCGCGTACCGGTTGCCCGAAGAGGAGGGCCGTCTCTACGACGAGTTCTCCCTGGCGCATGTGCTGCGGCGGCGGGGATGGGTGATCCCCGCCTACACCATGGCCCCCAACTGCAACGAGCTGAAGATGATGCGGATTGTCCTGCGCGAGGACTTCAGCATCCATCGCTGTAACCTGCTGGTGGAGGACATCCGCCAGGCGCTGAAGTCGCTCGAGGAGATGGACGAGACGATGATCAAGCGATACAGCACCTACGTCCAGACGCATGCGACCCGCGGGCCCCAAGGCCACCCGGTCTACAGAGATGAAAAACATTCGCTCCAGGGTAAGACCGGAAAGACGCACGCGGTTTGCTGAGTGAATTGTTTTTTGTTTGGGCTTGGTTTGTGCGCCAATTAAGTTTTGCGACCGGTGACAAGTCAGAGGGAAGCTACCTATACATAGTAGTGGCTCAGTTCCGCCCACAAAGGATGGACTTCGTATTTGTTCTTGGAAGAAAAACAGAGTGAATGCACATCACCACAATTTGTCAGAGCCAAGTCATCCGTCTACTGCACAGGAAAATTAGTTGAAAGTTGCATTGGACTGGTGGCGAAGCAGTAAAAAAAAATCATTCCATGCGTAGGATGGATGCAACAGTTGCATGGTAGTGTTCTTTGCCGCTGTCCGAACGGCGAGCGGCGAACTCGTGCTCGCCGACGGCAAAGCTGCACCTCGTCCTGCAACTTTCTGCTTTCTTACGTAGACTCCCTTCGAAGTCGCATGATTCACACTGGGAATATCGGTAAGAGCTGTCTGCCAACGGCCACCGGTTGTGCAGGCGTCGGGAACTCGGAAACTCGGCTGGAGCGATTCTCGCGACTAAGAGGCTCCACCCTTCCCTTTTTTCTTTGGTTTTTCTTCCCCACGGGAGCCGGTGAGCGCCGCAGCTCTTGGCCAGCGTGTCTGATGTCTACTCAGTACGGAGTACTGACTGCCTACCTACCTTGTGTACGGAGACTAAGCTAGTTCTCAACAGCTACAGGCATACGACTATGATCTCCCCACATCGGCCACCCGATAGATGTGAATCACGGTGGCGTAGGGCCAACCGATATCCGCTCTGGGCTTGATTCATGATGCTGGCAAGTGTCTTGGGGAAGAAGAATGTGAGACCTTTTTCGTATTCCATTATAGCACTGAAACAATACAACAACACAATTATCCAGTGGGTTTCCACCACATTCAGTGGTCATCCACAACAGTACGTGAGAAGACGCGCCCCCCCAAAAAGGGACCTGTCATACATTGATCGCTGTGGTTAGGGTTTTGGTTCCGCCTTTGGCCTCAATGCCCTCACCCCCCCAAGAAAGGATGATGGCGCCGGACACATCATATTCGATGGTCCATCCTCAGCAACAATAATACGCCTCCCCAATGCAGTAGCCTGGAGGTCTATGCTGCAATAATTGGCTCCACTCTCTCGAACCATTTGTCTTTTGCCCTGTCAATCAATCCGGGGTTTAGTCGTTTGTCCCCCGTTCGCGCAGCAACAACTCGGAGGGGTGGGTGTTCGCAGCTGCGTGTTTTCTGTCTGTCTGTTTAGACATCCACCTGATGGAGGAGTGGACATCCACTGGTGGTCCCTATCGTCCAATGTATCATTCGCAAGCGAGGGGAGCTTTCACTGATAAAATGCTTCTCTTTTTTTTTTTTTAGTTTGGTGAAGTATGCTTGAGGATCATTGCTGACAGACCGCTTCCAATAGCTCACGCAACTGGGGGCAACACCGGATCCTCTTCCCTTTTCTCCCGGATTCGCCTTGTCTCTGACAGGTGGTGCTCAGGCCGTGCAACTCGAGTGTGGAAACAGAAAACTCAATTAGGCTGTCTACTGTAGATACTATATTTGTGTGTGGCCCATTGAGGAAATGCCTTTACGGGCTAGTCCCCCTGAATATCAGGATGGATTGTACAGAGTCGAACGCGAGCTGGCCGGGCGCCGGTGGCCCATATCAACTCAGACATTCCCATCCCATTCTGCTTTTCTTCTGCTGGATTTTTCTCGGGTCGTTGAGATACTGTACGGGCTGTTACGTTAGGGTCTTGTGTTCCTATCTCGCACGGGTACAGTACTATGGCATTGATCATTGCCCTGGTGGTAGCATTGGCCTGCCATGTGCAGGCCAAGGCTGTCTTTGCTCACTTCATGGTTTGGCTCTCTCTCTCTCTCTCTCTTCCCTACATTCACCTCAGCTTGAATAAACACACCTTGCTAACAAGCATCCGCTGCACAGGTGGCCAACAGTCAGAACTTCACGATCGATAACTGGAAGGAAGACATCACGCTGGCGCAGGCGGCCAAGATCGACGCCTTCGCGCTGAACATGGGGTACGGCAGCCCGTACGCGGGCCAGATCCTGAACGACGCGTTCACGGCGGCGGCGGACCTGGACTTCAAGCTGTTCTTCTCGCTGGACTACAGCGGGGACGGCCACTGGCCGCAGGACCAGGTCATCACGTGGCTGAGCAACTACACCAAGCTGCCGGCGTACTACAAGCACAACGAGGAGACGCCGCTGGTGTCGACCTTCGAGGGCTACGAGGCGCAGGGCGACTGGGTCAACATCAAGAAGAAGGTGGACTGCTTCTTCGTGCCGGACTGGTCCAGCGTGCTGCCGGAGAAGCTGGCGGCGGCGACGGTGGCGGACGGGCTAATGAGCTGGAACGCCTGGCCCGACGGCACGGCGGCGATGAACACCTCGATGGACGAGCGCTACCTGTCCGTGCTGAAGTCGTCCTCCAACGGCACCGACCGCCCCTACATCATGCCCGTCTCCCCCTGGTTCTACACCAACATGGTCCGCTACAACAAGAACTGGGTCTGGCAGGGCGACGACCTGTGGTACACCCGCTGGAAGCAGGTCGCCGAGCTCGAGCCCGAGTACGTCGAGATCCTGACCTGGAATGACTTCGGCGAGTCGCACTACATCGGCCCCATCCACGAGCACGACCTCGGCACCTTCGTGTCCGGCGGCGCCCCCTTCGACTACGCCGTCGGGTTGCCGCACGACGGCTGGCGCGCCTTCCTGCCCTATGTCATCGACGAGTACAAGAACGGCGGCGACGGCAGTTCGGCCATCGAGTCCGAGGGGCTCGTCGCCTGGTACCGCCTCTCGCCGTCGTGGGCCTGCTCCGCCGGCAAGACGACGGGCAACACCGCCTCGCAGGGCCAGACCGTCCTGCCGCCGGGCGAGGTGCTCACGGACGCGATCTTCTTCGCGGCGCTGCTCGAGTCCGCCGCCGAGGTGTCCGTCAGCATCGACGGCCAGTCGGAGTCGGTCGACTGGTCCGACACCCCTGACGGCGACAGGGGGATGTACTTCGGCTCGGTGCCCATGGACAACCGCACCGGCGAGGTCATCGTCACCCTCACGCGCGACGGCAAGGAACTCACCCGCGTCGCCGGCCAGCCCATCAGCACCACCTGCGCCAACAACAACATGACCAACTGGAACGCCTGGGTGGGCAGCAACCTGACCAGCCTGGCCGCCGGCAATGGCTCGAGCAACGGCACCTCCAAGGAATCCGGCGCCGCCGCCGCCTGGTCGTCGACGAGGGCGGAGTTGCGGGGGTTGCTGATCCCCGTGCTGATCGTCTGGTTGGGGTTAGGGTTCGTGCTATAACAAGGAAAAAGTAATGTCATCCCGTTTGTATTATGATCGTCATGTCCGCCGGGGAGGAAAGAATATGTGGGCAGCAGGAAGCTGGGGGAGGAGTTTGATGATGATAGATCTTGGACGTTGATCATGTCCCCTTCAACTGTATCTATGTATGACGCTTGACTTTGTGTTTCATCTCTGGTTTGGGTGTCTCTTATGTTAATATCTAATTTTTCAGTTTTTCCATTCTGGTCGTCACAGAACTCCGGTGATGATCGCGGGGTTGTGGCTTCTGCGCTGTCCTGATTTTGATGTCGCGTTGTCCCTGCCAGTCAGCGTGCGAGTGTCGGTTTCCTATCTCCGTAGACAGGACTGTTGATCGCAGGTTTCGATCGTCCACCCCCTTATCTGCGTCAGTTGATATTGACTTTGCGACGGCGGCTTGGCCCGACAGTGTTCACTGGCGTTTCGTGCAAGATCAAAGGGGATCCCGTGCTGGAGATCCGTGGTCGAGGCTGGAATGTTAGGGTCCAGTTGCCGCTTGCGGAAATCCACTCGCCGCCTATCAACGCCCGTCAACCATGGGCTGGGTCGTGGGGATGTCGGCGTCGCCGATGGGGGGACGTGCACTGTTGCTGGCTTAGCTTATCGCTTATCTCTTTGATTATCGCTGTGGCTCTCTGGAGAGCAAGCTGTTGCTGGGGTTGGGTTCTTTTGTTGCTGTCCAAAGTCAAAGACCTTGGTCCCATGGTAGTGAGCCCGCGAGAAAGCAAGACGGTGCCGGTCGCCCCAGTGCTTGCTCGCCTGCCTCCTGCCTAATTCGGCGAGTACATGATTCAAGAGTGCTGTTTGCGATGTTTGCTGGTGATGATACACCCTGTCTGATCTGATTTCTGGTGTTGCTGGGGATCTGCACTGATTGCGCCGAGCATGAGCGAGCAGGTCCTGGTGGGGGGTGCGACGGTGCAATATGTGCAGTGGGGTAAAAATATGCCCCACGGCGGCCATCAAGTTTCTGCAGCATGGATTGCGTGCAGAAGTGACGAACAAGCAACCTGAATAAGGCTTATTGCACAATATTGAGGAGGTGAATGCAATGAATGCAATAGTAGTCGTCTTGTCAGACACCTTGTCGGAACCTCGTCAAGGCTATCCGCATTGGGATAGGGTTACATTCCACCAGGTGACAAAGACTCTTCGACTCTTCCCTTCATCCCTTCATCCCTTCCCATCCCCGCGAATAGCCTCGGCCACCCAGGCTGACCCCAGCCGGGCCCAGCCCACAATAGCCCTCTCTCGATGGCGACCAAGTCGTATGATTCGATCGAGCAGAACGAAATTTGCTGTAAGCCCTTATCGATAGACTCGATAGACAGGCGACCACCCCCGGGGAACCCGCAAGTCTATGACGCATATGACACCCTTGGCTCGCCACCCGACGGCGCAAGCCGACCAATCCTCGATTGTCTGGGGGATCAGCACTGACCAGTTCCAGACGGGTTAGCTGGGGCTGAGTTTAATCGTTTGGAATAGTCTTTGCATCGTTTACACGGCCGACGAGGGTCCCCGGCTCCGACAGGCGCAGAGGACAGACAAAGCCTGGACCACCGGCGTCGGCCGACATCAAGCCCTACCCACAGTACTGCAACAGCAACAGGGGTTGGTTAAGACGGATGCTCGAGCCATCGCGCTCCACTGGGTCCGCTTGAAGGATCCATAAGCTTCATGCAGACGGACATCCCCCTCCTTTGTTGCTTGCCCTGCAGGGTCCGGGGAGAGGGTATAAAGTATCCCCTGACCACCCCCTCGGTCCCTGAATCAGGGGAGCACAAAACTTCAGACATTCACACAGTCAGACATGTTAATACGAGACTAAACACAACCCGCGTGCTAGAAATCTTATTGAATACAGCCTGGTGCTGCCTATCCTTTGCACTAGCCTTCTTCATTGATACCATTCTACACTTCACAAGCCACGAACTTCACCGTCAACTACAACCTCATACCTCACACTTTACAACAAATCCTCAATTCCATTCATATACTCATTCACAACCTCAAGATAACCAAGATAATCATCATGGAAGCCCCCCATCTCTTCCGCCACGCCTCCCGCCTCACCTCTCCCTCCACCACCACCGTCAACACCCGCATCCCCCCCATCGCCCGCCGCACCGCCACCACCACCACCACCACCACGTCCTCCTCAGGTGCCTCAACAATAATCCCCACACACATCGTCCTCCTCTCGCGCAACAAACTCCAGCGCGAGACCGCCACCAAGAGCCCCGACCTCCGCCGCTGCCTCGCGCACCAGCGCCTCCTACACCGGTCCATCGAAGCGGCCCAACAAGCCGTCCGCGCCCAGATGGCCGCCTTCTCCCTCGAAGACGAGGACGCCATCGACGAGGAGGAGGAATTCGACGACCCCCGCTCCTACACCAGCTCGCCCATCCAGACAGCCCCACCAGTCACCATGATCCGCGAACAGATCACTGGGGCCGTTCGGGCGATGGTCCGACGGCGCTCTGCCTCCGCCTCTGCCGCCGCCTCTACACCCACATCCTCTTCCGCTGGCCCCGCTACCGCTACCGCGCAGAAACACAGCGCAGCCGGACTCAAGCGCGTAGCATCACAACAGAACCTCCTGGCCGCCTGCAACAACAGCGGGGACGTGAATCTGGTCAGCGAAGAGGGCCCTCGACAAGCGTCCGTTGCTGTTGCCATTGGGGGCCCGGCGGTGCTGCGCAAGACCAAGCGATATACGTCGCGGATTGTGTTTGGGCGGCGGCGGTGGCCGCTCTACGGGCATGGGCATGGGCATGTGCCGCAGCAGCCTGCGCTGGTTAGCTGACACGCGCTGTGTCGGTGGTTGTTTACTTGTCGTACTATAGTAGATGGTACTGCGATCGGTGACCGTGTCTTTTGGGGTGTTGTATATTTACTTCGTGGGCAGATGCCCTGCATTTCGATAGTATAATCTTTATTTTTATGGTGAATGATGTGTTTTCGTGGAGTGCGCTGGGGTGGTGGATTCGCCACTAGCTTGCCACTGTAGGAGTTGTCGATTTCGATATGCATAAGAATTGTGTGCATGATGCTGCTGACTGGTAGTATGCGACCGATGAAAGTGCACAATCCACTGGAACTGAACTCATACACTGCGCATAAAATGCATAGGTAGGTGATAGGTACGTAGTGCAATGAGCATCCAAGTCTGTTTGAACTACCAGTGGTTCAACACTCTCACCCCGCTTATCCTCGCCCTACACACCAATATACCCAACCTTCACCTTCCACCTAATCAACGGCACGACTTACTTCGACACAGACACATCCAACTCCTCGATCCCCTTCGCGGCCCGCTCCTTCCAATCCTCGCGCCACCGCGTCAACGCCGGCCGATCATGCACCACATCCCCACAGGCCCAGGCAATGCGTTTTTTATCCAACTCCTCGCTGACCTCGTTATCGGGACAGATGATATAGAAACTCCCGGCGGCCATCCGGCGCACCATGAACGCGACCGTCTCCTGGGGCGTCCAGCACCCGGCCGGCTTGGTGGGGAAATGCGTCTGCATCATGCCGGTGTACACCCAGCCGGGCACGAGCAGATGCACGCCGACCTGCGGGTGGGTTCGGTGGAGGTCGAACGCGAGATGCTCGGCGATGGTCTTGACGGCGCTCTTGGAGGCGTTGTACGCCGGGTTGCCGGGGGGGTTGGTGATGCCCTGCTTGGAGCCGGTGAGGATGATCGCGCGGGGGTTTTGGTTCGCTGTGGTGGTGACGCTGTCGAGGAAGGCGGCGAGTCCGTTCGTGTAGCCGAAGGTGTTGGTCGCGAAGGTCGTCTCGAAGTAGCTCGGGTCCTGCCAGGGGGTTTTGCCGGGGGCTGGTCGGGCGAGGCGCCCCGCGTTGAGCATGAGGAGGTCGATGCCGTCCGGGTAGAGGTGGTGGATGGTCGGCTTGAGGCGCTCCCAGGCTGCTGGCTGGGAGACGTCGAGGATGAAGGTGTGGATTTTGCTGGTCGATTGGGGCTGGTCCAGCGCGTTGGCGGCCTCGGTCAGCTTGGCCGGGTCGATGTCCACCAGGATCAGGTTCATCCCCTGCTGGTGGCAGTGTTGCGCGGTCGCGAAGCCGATCCCGGAGGCGGCGCCGGTGATGAGGGCTGTGGCCCCGGGGTGGAAGACGGAGGGTGGGGTTGTCATGGTGTTTGATGTTTCTCGGTGTATGGTTATGGTGTTTTGGGAGATCTGTGAGGGGGGTTGAGATGGTTATAAGTTGAATGACAAGTTGTAAGCTACTCATCAGTTGTTTACTTGATTGCGGGGTTGCTGACGGCGATCATCCGGCGATAACCGTGTTTATCGCCGGCTGATATGCATAGCATAGCGTAGCATAGCATAGCTTGCATAGCATAGCATAAGATTCCACATAGTTGTCACTGCACGTTCTGGTTCACGAACGCATTTGCTTTACATTGTACCTTAGGATGTTCAATGTTCATCTCCAAGGCCTCCTGCACTAATTCGGATTCATATCCAGTCGGTTTGATTGGGATGTATGAGAGACGATGGATCAGAGACAAGTCTCATTCCAGGTGTCAGCGGCTGTCGGCCTGTCAATATATAGCTGTTCTTGCACGAGTAGTACGTATACTACCCAGCACATAGTATACTTATTATTCTATAGTCAGAAAACCCCAATTAATGTAGATTCGTCTGAGATGAGATCTCAGTAGCAGATCATCCCCAACATCGCATACAATAGCCACAAGAATGAGCAAAGTGCTCTCCACCCTCATCCTGGGGCTACAACGACGGTTCCGTGCAATAAGAAACTTGCCGCAGCGGCAGAAACGCGCAGGCGGTGAACAGATGCCCACAGCATCTTCGCCGGGTTTTCCATTCGCCAGCCGTGCATGAGTCTAGACCCGGTCGCAAAAATCTCGGTCACGGGTGTGCCCATGGTCGCTGCATCGAGTCCCCACCATCAAAGACCGGGTAATTCCGGCCGAAATGACATTGATTCGGTCGGCGACAAATGACGGTGATCTGGATTCCTTAGACGTGGCTGTCATTCTTGTCCACGGTGTCCACGGTGTCCTTCAAGAGGGCCCAGTTGGGCAGGAGCGTTGCTGTACTGTACAGTACCCCCAGGGCACTGTACCTACTCCAAGCTGAATCAGGAAGGTGCGCGGCACCGCCCGGAGTATAAACCCCCCCCTCGCCCCCGATTCTCGTCCGACTTTTTTCCTCCCTGCGCTCGCCTCTGCAGCATTCACTGATCGCCTCTTGTTCCAACCACCACTATGTGTAGCGTAAATCTGTCCATTGTGCTCATGACCTCTGCACAGGGCATCTGATGTACAGAAGTAGAAATGTATTGGATATTATCTATATGTACAAGTAAATCCTGATATATGTATGTGTATATGGATCGCAACCTGTGTCTCTCATCCCGGCTGCACCGGCTGCACCGGCTGCACCAACCCATCCAACGACTTGGCCAATTCAATCGACCTCGCCAAGATTCCCTTCTCCTCGTCCGTCAAATCCCTAACAACCCCATTGACCATACAGCTCTGATCCTGCTTTCGCTCCCCCTTGATCCAGTCCGCATCGATCATCCACTTCTCCGGCACCTGATACTCATTCTCCATGCCGGGCTGGCCCTTGTTCTTCAACAAACTGCCATTATACCACAGCAAGCGATCCCTGGCATCGACATGGGCGATCACAAAACTGCACACCCCACCGCCACCAGTCCCTGGCACCACGGCCCCCGACTCATCCACCGCTTCCTCCCTCTCCCACCCGACAATCCCCCCATAATGCGGCGAGAACGCATACTCCGCGCCCGCCACCTCCAACCCAAACCACCAACTCTCCTTGTCGCCATAGGTGATCTTATACGTGGTCTCCTCGCGCACCTCGAACGAGTTCTGCCAGCAGACATGCAGCAGGCCGACCAAGACATCCACGCGGCCCTTGTCCAGCACCACCAGCCCGGAATCCCCTTCCTCGGCGTACTCCTCCGTCCACACGCGCGAGGCGTTCAGCGCCCCGCTCGGCCGCCGGATCTGGTCGTGCCACCACGCGTGCCGCCCCGCGAACGCGTGCGGCCACAGCAGCCGGTCGTGGAACAGCAGCGCCCCGCGCTGCCGCACCGCCTCGTGCCCCAGCAGCACCTCCGGCCGCTGCAGGAACACCGCGTCCGCGTCCGCCAGGATCACCGTCTCGAACCGCGACCCCAGCGCCGCGAACGCTTTGATCGCCCACCCGCCCGTCCGGAGCTGGAGCGTCGCGTCGTCGAAGACGGTCAGGATGTCGAGGAATTCGATCGCGGGGGCGGCGGCCGGGTCGGGCCCGGCCAGCGTGGCGAGGAGGTCCCGGTGGGCGGGCGAGAGGTCGGTGTCGCCCGCGTAGACGACTTGGATCGGCAGGCTCGAGTGCAGCACCGTCCGCAGCGCCCCGATCAGGTGCGCCGCGTACCGCACGGTCTTGTCGCTGGTCGGGATGACGATCCCCGCGCTTTGGGGCTCGAAGCTCGCGCGGAGGTGCGCGAGGGGTTGGGTGCTCGTGGTGGGGTTGGCGGGGTGCGTGAGGAAGGGGAACTGCGCGCGGACCACTTGTTCGACGGCGTCGGCGTAGACGGCGCGTGTGGTCGGGTTGTTGCTGGCTTGTTGCGCCAGGGTTAGCCAGTCCCGCACGATGCGCAGCCGGCGGCCTAGTTCGCCGTATTTCTCCTTGTAGGGCTTCTGGATCGGGTGGTCGGTGAAGTACTGCGTCAGGTCGGTGAGGAGGGCGGTTTCGGCCGGCGTGAGGTCGGCGACGGTTGAGGTCGAGGGGACGGCGCTGGGTTGGAGGGCTGATGTCCCCGCTGCTGGTTTGACGTCCAGGGCAGCGGTGGAGATCTGGGACCCTGGGGGGAAGAACAGCAGGACGAAGAGAATGCAGGTCGTTGCCAGAGCGGCGATGACGAGTCGGAAGTTGCGGGGGTTGAGCAGCGTCGTCGTCAGGAGACTCATCTTCTGCGACAGCAGCAGCTTGGGCTCTGACCACGCCAGCATCTTGATGAGGCTGCAGGTCGAGAACGCATGGGCGGGCAGCGTGTACTTGTGCGCAGGCGCGTCTTCTTCGGTCCGAGAGACCGGATTGTTTCTGCCTGGGAGAAAGAGGGGGGCTCAGGGAAGGTGACGTTGCCCTTCAAGCCTTTCAGGGCTGGTGTCGATCCATTGCATTGTTGAACAGGGGGGGCCATGGGGCCTGGGGTCTACTTATTCCTTGAATGCGATCGCAGCAAAAGCCAATAGGGGGGCCCGCAGACAGCTGATCTCTGGGATTCAATCAGCACTAAATCAGGGCTGAAGTGCTGAGGCTTTTCCCGAGCGGCGCTGCTGGGAGATTTGCGGTGGGTCGAGCAAAATCCGAGCAAACCAGGTCCAGCCCTAAGAACACGATAGACTAGGTAGTAAGTAGTAACTTATCGTAGTGCACGGGGGTTTAGGGGTGTCTTAAACCTCGTATTCCACCCGCTCGCCCACTGATATTGGAAGTGGGGGCCCACAGATTCCCATTAAACTGCTAAGCTCGCGCTCAGCAAGGCCAAGCCTCGACTGGAGTCGCGTGCCTCCATGCTATTTTCAGGGGTTTTGGTTGCTGGTTGGCCGATGAATGCGGTCATTCCAGGTTAAATTGATCGGAATATAAGTTTACCGATTGGTGGATGGGAATGATGGACATTATGGTCAAGGTGCAGTCACGACTACCTGCACAGCAGCGTTATCACAGCCAATTCAATGCGTTGGCAACCCCGACCGCGGAGGTTCTCTACAAGGAATTTCTGTGTGATTTGCCATTGCAGGCGGGAATGGCGACGGACGGACCGACGTGGGGCGAACATCCAAATGGGCCAATCTTCCCGAGCCAATTATACGACCACTTGCAGATTTGGTTTGGTTATCGCTTATCGCCCAGGCAGAACTGATCCAATGTGAGCGGTGGCCCGGAATTTCCGAAGGATGCCGTGTCTCACACGGTCTCACACGGTCTCACGTTGGAGGCCTGTCACTTCTCCTGTCACTTTTCCTTGCCAGTCATCTGCAGACAATCACCCAGCCAAGCCCAAACCTGTCTCAGTCCAGGTGGCACGAATGTCGGGATGAGCCTTTGACACGAACAGTGGACCCCCGGCGTATATTGTGATGCTCCACCCATTGCTGCGCCCGCAATATGACCATCTCTGTCTCACGATCTTTTGACCACCACACAATTCCTGATGATTGTAGTAAGTGTGCTGGATAGTCGCCCTTCGAGGGTATTCTTGAAGCAGGCGATCACCACTTCGACAAGCTTAATCATGTATCGTGATTCGAGCTATCTTGGCTCACGATGCCAAATCAGAACTCTTGGCCCTAGCTCTCCCGTACGGATCTGCAAGCTAGGACCTTGACACGGCAGATCGAGCATCCCAAGCCATGCCCCATGTCATACAGGGCAGCATGTGTCGTCAGCCGCATGACCATCGTGAATTATTGCTCCGTAGGGTGTGGGGGGTCAGCATTCGGACATCCTCACCGTGGGCCAACTTGCCGGGTCAACCAGGGTGACGATCGTCGGGTCAGTGTGTCTTCTAATATTTAATCAAGCCCCGTCAAGATGGCAATCGGCAGAGCGGATCCGATGCTTATTTATCCTGAGCGGCTTTTGATAGTGGTTTAAATCTCCGCCCTCAACGGGCAGGATCTGGGATAACCCATGTATGACAAAATAAGCAATCCTCCCGGTGGGACGAATGTGACTAAGAAGCATCATGGACGCAACTCTTTCTGTATTCTGGTTGCGCATGCTCACCCTGAGCTATAGATCATGAGCTTTGAACATAAATTACTGACATTGCCCGACTATCCACCTCTACCCTTCAACACTTCCTCGTAGACCATTCCTCTTCCAAGCCCACTGTATCATACTGATATCTATCCCATCAAACAAAATGAGACTTTCCGCTCCCCTCCTTCTCCTCCCCACCTTCCTCACCTGCATCCTCGCCAACCCGCTCCAGATCCAAATCCTCGAGGACGACGAGGAGGCCTCTACCTCTTTCCCCGCCGACGAGAAGCATTACTGCGGCGGGTTGGGCGCGCTGTGTCAGGTCAAGACCCCTAAGCTGATCTGGATCTGCGACTGTCCCCATAAGACCAAATGCGAGTCCCGGGTCGTTCATGCCGGTGCGAGTTACTGGTATTGCAGTGTCCCGAAGTGAGGTTTGCTGGTGAGTTGGGTCGGTGGCTGGAGCAGGGATTTTGGAGCTGATACATTCCAGATGAGGGAAGGACTAGATGGAGGTGTAGGTGTTGTGGGAGAGGGGCCTACGGTGCTGGCGGTGAGGTTGTAGTTTTGTCCTTAACAAAATTGTTGGTCTTTTTCTTTTTCTTTTCCTCTCTTTTTGGGCTAAATCTATATCTCATGGTGATGCCTTCGCGAACAAAATTGGGAATTTGTTCTTTTTTTTCCCTTTGCACAGACTTGAGTTATGTCATAATCCTTTAGTTTACTATGCCTAGCTGGAGGCATGATTTATGGTCTATAACTGTCCAATTCTGTGGGTGTTATCGAACGGAGGTAACTGTTTTGTCTGAATAAGTGCAGGTTTAACACAGCCTGGAGGTAGATGTATGGCGAGCTCGTAGCCAATAGCACAGTCTCTCATCCCTGCCTTCATATCCGTGATTGTAGTTGGTTGGTGCCTTCTTGATACGGTTCACAAGATCGATGTGGAATCAGCTGCTTCCTTACCGTGAGACTGTCTAAGGAAGACTACCAAATATGTCAAGAGGGGTTTGATGGTGACGACTGTACGATTGTGATTACCTTCTTTAGATACAAAAGAGATTTGTGCCACAAGCATGAACAACCTTCCAAGTCTTGCGGACAGAGCTACGATGGCACCTGTCCGGACCAGAAGTTATCAACACGTGTAAAACGGCTATGACCACCGAACGCAAAAGTGCAGATCCGAGACTGTCCCTCCCCATTCGACCCAGCAACGCGCCTCAAATCATCAACGACTACTCACTATCCTCTGCGCTATCAATCTTCGTCCATGCATTACGGGGTCGAAAAGGGTTACTGAGCACGCCGGGCGCCCCCACGACGTACATGGCCGCCCGCTGCCAGGTCAACGCGTAGTCGTAGCTCTTCTCACGCTCGGACGGGGAGTTGAAAGTGACTCGGAGCGGGTGGCGGTAGCGATCCTCGCGAACGGCCTCACGCCAGGTGTCGAGGAGATCGGGCCAGCTGCCGGCGCGGAAGTGCACGTAGGCCAGGCTGATTCGCTGCAGGGAGGAGTTCTCCAGGTGCGCGAGCAACTCCCGCAGGTCTTCCTCCGCCATGACCACACACATCAGGGACAGCTCGCGGAGACACGGCCACCGCACGCGGCGCACCAGCGGGCCGACATCGAACTCGTGGGCGAAGGACTGGGAATCCGGGCCCAGCATCGGCCGCAGGGCGATCTGCACGCGCTCGACACGCCGGCTGGACAGCAGCGCGTGGAGGTACTCGGTCGCCGCCGCCCGGTCGAAGGCCAGGATCTCCCCGCGGCTGCCCGCCCACCACTCGCTCGGATCGCCGATGCTGACGCTGCGGAGGTCCTGACAGGCGGCGCGGAGCTGGGAGAAGGAATCCAGGGTGCCCAGGTCGGGGCCGGTGGCGGACGGGAATGCGTCGACGAGTCGCAGCGAGTCGAGGGAGACGTGCTGCAGCGCACAGCCGGTGGCTTGGAGGGCGACGGGGAGCTCGAAGAGGATCCTTGCCGGCGGGTGCTCGGTGTGTCTCCAGGGCAGAGGATCGAGGAGGCGCGTGTGCAGGTGGGCGGGCTCGGCCTGGCCTTCCTTCTCATACTCCACGTAGCGTGCGTAATCCATGATGGTGTTCTCGCGATCCGTCACTCCCATCGTAATGACGTTGGGCATTCGCCCCACCGATTGGGTCACCGTTCGCACAAAGTCGCCGCTGGCGATCAGCTGGTGCTGTTCCTCGTGCGCGCGGCCATACCCTGCATGGGCCCGCAGGAACGCGGCGCGATGCTCCGGCATCGTCAGACCGGCCAGGTGAGCATACGGTTCGAGCCTCGAGCGATGTTGATAGAACCGGACAAAGTCGGCGGCGAGCTCGGGGGGTCGGTAGGGCAGTCTGATCAGCACGCCACGCACCGCGCGCGCCAGGCCGGGGCAGCGGGAGAGGGCGACGAACCGGTCGAGCGATGCCTGCGACAGGCTCACCGCGACAAAGGAGAACAGGATGGGCGAGGCACACGATTCGAACGCCCGACAGACCAACCGCGCGTCGGAGAGGTTCTGCCGCTCGCGTTGGTACGAGTGCTCGTTGGCGTTGAGCTCCGGCCACGACCACCCGACCAGGCCGGGTTCCACGCCGGGATGGCGGAAGTACTCGAAGGCCTTGAGCAGCACCTCGGGGGGCATCTCGAGGATGGTGAGCCGGCGGATCTGGTCCCTCGACAGTTCGTTGGCGGCCGCGCGCAGCACCTTGCGTTTGTCGTCCAGCTTGTACCGCAGTCGCCGGCCTTCGCGGTGTCGCATGTTCGCCGCGGAGCTTCTGCTAGCTGCGGCCTCCCACGCCACGATGTATTGATTGGTGCTCTCGATCTTCGACAGGACTGCGTATACCTCGGTCAGGTTGAAGTTGGCGATCTCTTCGTCGGCAGGTAACCCCGGCTCGCGCGGCGCCTGGGGGTGAACAGGGGGCCCCATGGTGACGTGTGAGCTAGAGGTTCGATACCGTCAGCTAAGGAACAGAAACAGATGACAGTTTTGGAGATAGCTTACTGGAACAAACAGGTCAACGCAATATCGATGGACGGGGTGTGTGGTGATTGGTTGTAGAAAGATGGGAGGAGGAGAACGCTCCAGGAAGGCAGATATCAGACTGTGTTATGTGTGTAAGTTGATTTTCACATATGTCAGTAGGCACCGTTCTGTGTGATTCTGGTCGCCTAGCGAACCTCCCTCACATTCACTTTGAAACAGTTGATCCAAATTGGGCTGTTATCAAGGCGGTTTCTACTGGCACTATCACCACTGCACGTAACATCACCTGCTGTGTCTGCAGCAACTGGCCTTTGCATACATTTCTATCGTCTAGTAATACATCTTTCTATAATCGTCTGGCTTTTGCCTTTCTTATGGCACAGCATTCTTTCAGGAATTGGACTTATAATCTAGAAAATCAAACAGACGCGTACTCTTGCGCGCATGTGATCCACAGGGGGAGGTGAGCTGGGCGAATATCAAAGACAACTCTTTCCTCATTTAACTTGCACACCTTTACAAAAGGAGCTTAGAGCTCTTGTAATGTGACAGGTTGTCTATCTACTGCTGTTACCATTATCTTCATGATCGTGCCTCTGCTCACTGCCTGTATATACGAGTTACGTCGGGGCTATCGACACCGTGCAAAATTGGCAGCTGCAGACAGAAAACAGTAAGATATACAAGTTCTCATTATTGATTCCTATTACCTAAAAAGTCGAAGCCTAACACCCGCGCTTCCAGACAAACCACTTTCTTATTCTCAGAAGTGCGTCGATCAGCTGCCCTGGAACATCAACACTGTTGTCAAGAAGAAACTTGTTACAGGTACACAAGCCAGAAGCGAGACAGGAGTGTTCTCAACAGGTCTTATGGAACAGAACTTCTGAGCTTATGTGTGAACTGTTACGATATCTGATCTTCTCAGAGAAGTGCGTATTCATTTGCTGGCAAGGTAAATGTTTGTACCGTTGAAGAGCACCCGAATAATCTATTGCACAAACTAACCTTTACAATTCTAGTAAAACCACTATACTCATAACAAAACAATCGGTAACAAGCAAGACATCAAGTCAGAAAGCCACTCCTCCCATCGCAAGGCCGCAGCAAATCCACTCTCTACACATCCAGCGCTTCCTTGACCAGTCTCCCAACCTCAGCAGCCTATCCCGAAAAACAAGTCAGCAATCACTCCCCACCCAGAATCAACCACAACGAGAAAGGAAGAAAAGAAAAGGAAACTCACCAATGGCTCTCTCATCATCGTGAAATGATTCCCCTCCATACTCACACACCGTACCTTTCCCCTCCCAACAAGTGTCTCCCACCCATTCTCCCCCAAATCAAGCCGATTCCCACACAACCACGCCATACTGTTCGGCATTCGCACCCCCTTCTCCCACTGAGGTTCCGGATCCCCCGAATTCTTGACGACCCCATCCCGGGCCCAAATCACCGTCGTCGCCGGCATCCCCCTCACATCTACCGGCATTTTCCGGGCCAACTCCTCCGAATAAGCCGTGAGTTGAGTTACCGTCGCCCGGAAATGGGGGAGCAACCACTCCGGCGTTTTCGTCTGCCCATCACCCAACAGACCAATACGATTACAGAACTCGTGGAACACGGGGGGCAGGGCCTCGAGGCCGACGGGGAAGGGGCTGTCGATGAGGACGAGCTTCTCGACGACCTCGCCCCGCGCCAGCAGCTGGCGCGTCAGCTCGTACGCCATCACCCCGCCGGCGGACCACCCGCCCAGCAGATAGGGGCCCGAGGGTTGTCGGGATTTGATGGCGTGGAGGTACTGGGTCGTCACGTCGGGGACGCTGACGGTGAAGTTGTGCGGGTCCCGCATGAACGGGCTGTTCATCGCGTAGACGGCGGTGGTGGCGTCGAGGGCTGGGATCGTCGCGTAGGAGAAGGCGGCGCCGGAGCCGTCGGGGAGGAGGAAGAGCCTGCGGGTCGCGGTTTTGGGGTTGCCGGATAGTAGGATAATCGGGGCTGGGGGGAGGGACTTTGGGGATGTTGGATTGGTGCTGGCTGGTGCTGGCTCTGGTACTGGCTTGGCAACGGGGGATGGGGATAGCCCTAATGCGCCGAGCATCCCCTCGACCGTCGGGTGTTCGATCAGGAAGTCCGGAGAGAAGGTCAGCCCTGTCTTCTCGCGCAGCGACCCCAGGATCGCCAGGCTCATCAGCGAGTCCAGCCCCATCTGCGAGAGGTCGACCGTGTCCCCGACCTCGCTGAGCTCGACCCCGAGCTCCTCGGCGATCGTCGCCCGGATGATCATCCCCGTCCGGCTGAGGGTGTCGTCGTCTTCGCTGTCGCTCAGCACGAGCACCCCCGCCTCGTCGTCGGATTCCACCGGCGTGTGCACTTTGGTCAGCTCCCCTTCGGTGGACGACTCCTTGTCAGAGGGAAAATCGGTCAACGGCGGGGTCGGCGCGGTGCTGGAGTCGGCCAGGTGCGCTTTCAGCTCTCCCACCGTACTGAGCTCCTGGAAGATCGAGTTCCCCAGGTTGATTTCCAGCTCCTCGCGGAACCGCGCCGTGATGGACAGCGACATGAGCGAGTCGACGCCCAGATCCGCGAAGGGGATGTTGTCGCCCAGCTCGGACACGGCGCAGCCCACCTCGGCGGCGATGATGTCCAGCGCGCGGGGGAGAGTCGATGCGGAGGGGGCTGGCAGGCTAGGCAGTTGGGGTGCTGGTTTGGACGGGCTGCTGCGGCGCTGGATCGGGGCGCTGGGTTCCTTGCGTACAACTGAAGAGACAGCAGCAGCAGCAACAGCCACCTTCGCAGAACCCAGCTGAGGTGCACCACCAGACGGACTGCCCTTGATCCCCAGCAGCGTCAGCATCAACTTGCGCGGCACGCACTGGAACCGCAGCCCGCCAACCACGCCAATGATCTCCTGCCCCTCCAGGACATACACATCCCCCGAGACCATCTTACTACCCTCGCTCACAGGCGACATCTTGACATACGAGCGGTACTCGCGACCGACCTCGAGCCTCCGCACGAAGCGCATACTCTCCCAGCCATGCGAGATGTAGATCTGCGCCGCCGAGTCAATGGCATCGGTGGCATTCATCACGAAGCCCGAGATATGCGCCACGCTGTCGGTGTGATACGGACTGACCAGGAACTCCCCGTCCTGCGGGGTGGTCTGCAGGCGCACGCGCGCCGTCGCCTCGAGATTCGCGCTGTCCAGCGCCACCTGCTCCATTCCCTGGAAGGTGGGGCTGTAGTCGACCAGCGCGGTGAAGAGCTTGTACGCCATGCCGCGGTAGAGTGAGTGCGTTCCGGGCCGGTCGCGCTGCTGCAGAGAGTCGATCCGCGACTGCACGAGGAACGCGTGGCGCTGGAACTCGGCCGCCCACTGCGCCGCATCCTCGAACCGCACCTCGCACTGCGCGTGCTGCTGCGTGCCCGTGTGGAACGAGACCTGGCACCGGCGGTGCACGGGGTCGAAGACCCCCCGGATCGTCAGCGTCTGCGAGGCGCGCTGCAGGTCCAGGATCAACGGCGCCGACGATTCCATCTTGCAGATGTTCATGTGCGGCTCCGCCTCCACCCTTCCTTCAGGGGCCTGGCCCAGCTGAAACGCGTACTTGGCAAGCGTGAACGCCATATCCGCGTTCAGCGACGACGGACACAGCGGCGCGCCGCCCACGCGATGGCCCGAGATGACCGCCTTGAGCTTGGGCTCGTGGAGATCCGCCTCGGCGACGACTTCCACCCCGCCGTCGGGTCGGACTGTCTCCGAGACGATACGCTGGATGGAGGTGGTCGAGAACCTCTGCGGCTCCGGGGCTGCTGGAACCGTCTCCGACGATGCAGGCAGGCGTTCGCCCTTGGTCAGGGTCCAGTTGTTGGTGTAGTCCAGCCAGTAGGTCTTCTCGTCGAAGCTGTACGTGGGCAAGCGCAGCACCTGCACACCCTTGGTCTGCTCCAGCCCCGCGTGCACCTCGTTCCAGTCCACCGGCACCCCGGTCTGGTAGAGCGTCGATAACGCCGTCGCCGTGGTTTTCCACCCGCTCTCCTTGCGCTGCAGCGCCGCGCACACCACGCTGTCGGGGCCCAGCGCGCTCTGCACCATGCTCGAGCAGATGGGATGCGGCCCCAGTTCCAGCCACACTGTCTGCGGCGAGATCACCCCCTGCGTCGCGGCTGTGTGTAGCGCGCCGACGAAGTTGACGGGCTCGCGCGCGTGGCGCGTGAGATATGCCGGGCCCACGATGCCCGCGCGGTCGATCACACTCGCCGACACGGGGGATAGGATGGGGATGCGGGGCGAATGGAAGACGATGGGCTCGGCCGCTTGGGCGAGCGCGTCGAGGATGGGATCAACCTGCGCCGAGTGGAAGGCGAAGGGGACCTTGAGTGTGATGCAGCGGAGATCGGGACGCGCCGCGGCCAAGGTCTCCTTCGCGCGGGCGATCGCCTCGACGGGGCCGGCCAGCACCGTCTCCGTCTTCGAGTTGAGACACGCCACGCCGATGGCAGCATCGTTGTCGTTGTCGACGACGAGACGCAGCAGCTCCGCGGCCGGAATGGCGCCCTGCACCGCGAGCATGCCGTGGCTGTGCGCCACACACGCCGCCTCGAGCAGCTGCGCGCGCCGGCCCACCAGGAACAGCGCGTCCATCGCCGACAGTACGCCCGCCACGTACAGGGCGGCATACTCGCCGAGCGAGTGGCCGAGCACCGCCGCGGGGACGGCCCCCCACGACTTCCAGAGATCCGCCAGCGCCATCTGCAGCGCCGTCGACGCCAGCTGCGTGACCACCGGCGATTGCGCGGCCAGATCCCCCGCCTGGCTACCGTCGATGACGCCTAGAAACGTGGGGAAGCCCTGCGCCGTCGCCAGCTCGTCCAGCTGCTGCAGCTGGCTCCGGAAGGGGATGCATCCCGCGAACAGGGCCTGGCCCATGCCCGCATACTGCGCCCCTTGGCCGGTGAACACGAAAGCTACCGCCGGGGGCCGACTGAGCGACAGGGCGCGCGGCGACGGGTTGCGGTCCACGTAGGTCTGCAGTTTCTGCCGGAGCTGGGCCACGCTGTCCACGGCAAAGACCACGCGGTAGGTGTAGTGGTTGCGACGGGCGGTGGTCGTGTACGCCAGGTCGGCCAGCTGCACGTCAGGGTTCTGCTCGATCCACGCCAACAGACTGCGAGCGTTGTTGCCGAACGAGGCCAGTGACTTCGCAGATACGGCGACTACGGCGGTTGAGACCACCTTGCTCGTGTCGACTGCGACGACTGGCCGCTCGGGGGCGTCTTCGACCAGCATGGCGGAGTTGCCGCCGGCGGCGCTGAAGTTGTTCACAAAGACCATGCGCCGTCTTCCCCCCTTGGCGGGCTTGGGGAACGGGGTGAGCCGCGAGGCGATCTGAACCCCGCGGGCCTGCAGATCCGAGGGAAAGCCCTGGTTGATGACGCCCTTGATGCCGCAGTGGGGCGGGATGAGGTTCTTCTGGAACATGAGCAGGACCTTCACGAGGGCCGACACACCCGACACAGCCTCGCCGTGGCCGATGTTGGCCTTGGCGGAGCCGATATACAGGGGCTGGTGGCGGGGGCCCCGCTGGTGGGGTCCGGGGGGAGCGAACACGTTGGTGACGGACTGAATCTCGATGCCGTCGCCGGCCTGGGTGCCGGTGCCGTGCATCTCGACGTAGTCGACCTCGCGGGGGTCGACCCCGATGTCGCTCATGATCTTCTGGAAGAGGTAGGTCTGCGCCCCGGCGTGCGGGTGCGTGATGGAGACGGCCTCGGCGCTGTGGTTCGTCGCGGTGCCGCGGATGATCCCCAGGATGGGGTCGTTCTCGCGCAGCGCGTCCTCGACCCGCTTCAGGATCACGGTCACCACCCCGTCGCCGCGGCAGTAGCCGTCCGCCGCGTTGTCGTACGTCTTGCACGACCCCGTCTTCGACAGGAACTGGCCCTTCGACAGCCCCGCGAAGATGTCCGGGTTCGTCAGCACGTTCATGCCCCCCGCGAACACCGTGTCGCAGTCCCCGGCCCGCAGCGAGGTGCACGCCAGCTGGATCGCGGCGAAGCTGCTCGAGCAGGCCGTGTCGAGGCTGAAGCTCGGCCCGCTGAAGCCGAAGTGGTAGTTCATGCGGCCCTACGCGATCACCGAGCCAGTCAGATCTGTTATCCTGCAGGTTGCCGGATCAGGGGAGAGAGGGCAAGCACTTACCGGGCCGAACGCGCGCACCCCGCCGGTGATGAAGTAGGTGTCGATGTTCTCGGCGGCGTTGATCTCGCGCCAGTCGTCGCTGGTCTGGCCGTAGAAGGTGCCCACGCGGTGGGCGTGGGTGGTCGGGGTGCGGTTGAGCACGAACCCCGACGACTCCATGGCCTCGTAGGCTGTGGTGATGGCCAGTCGCTGCATCGGGTCGGTCTGTTTGGCCTCGCGCGGCGACATGTTGAAGAAGCGCGGGTCGAACTTGCCGGGCTCCTCGATGAAGCAGCCGTAGGGCGTGTGGGATTTGTTCTTGCCGTTGCCACTGGGGTCGGTGTGTGCGTCGACGTCGAACCGATCCGGGGGCACCTACGTTTGTTAGCGGTGGAGCCGAGCACAGGGTGAATGGATGTGGCGTTTTGGTGGGCTGGAATTCACCTTGCGATGCACATCTAGCCCCTGCGCCAGCAGCTCCCAGAAGGCTTCGTGGTCCGCAGCATCGGGAAATCGCCCCGCCATCCCAATGATGGCGATGTTACATCCGGCAGGGCTGCTGCTGAGATATGTCGGTACCGAGTTGGCTGCCAGCCACGAGGCGTGGTCTTCTAACGTCAGTTTGAGACCGGCGGGCTGTTCGTGCTTCAGCGCTGAGGCCAGCGCGTTGCCCAGTGGTGTGGGTCCTAGCGAGAGAATGCGATAGGAGGGAGCATTTAGTGGGGCTAGGAAGTTCAGACTGGTCGTGACCAGCTGGTTCCAGTCCATGCATTCTCGTAGGATGCGGTCGATGCACTCGGTGAACAGGGCTGAAGTTGAGCGTGTACTGGAGGCGTTGAGGCCGCAGACGGTGTGAATCTGGTGGTAACGGTTGAGGATGTCGATGGAGGCTGCATCGAGGATGTCGTATTCAGCTGCAAAGAGATGGGGGGCATGGTAGGGAGCGTGGATGGGAAGTGTGCGGTGATGTACTCCCTGCAGCAAAGGCGATGCCTCAAACAAGCGAGCTCGGAGGGATGGAGGGCCGCTGACTGCGACGCTGTTGGTGGCTACGCTACTCACATAGACTTGATGCGACGATCGCAGTCCCTGATGTCTGTTAGGACTTCGCTGTTTGGCACGCTGAGAGAGTGAATGCACCCACCTGTGTCTGGTTGAACTCCTCTACTGCGACCGACACCGTCGCTGAGTCCACCCCAGTGACTAGACTGGTCCATGGCGTCTGACTCGTCTCCAGAGACTCTGCCTTTCTCGCTGCTGTCGCCCCCAATCGGAATGCTAAGCGCACCGTCTCGACGGCCAGCGGAATCAATGCGACCAGCGAGTCTGACGAGGCAATAGCCGACGCAGCCAGCAGACCAGTGCAGGTCCCGATAATCAAGATCCCCGGCTGGAGATATGCACGGGGGTTCTCTTCGCAGACCCTGTGCAGCGTCAGCGTCGGCGAGATGCTCGATGTACAGGCAAAGAAAGGCCGCAAGTAGCAGAACCCAAAAGACAAGACAACAACGCAGCTGAAGGAAACGGGTCAACAAGGACTCACCCGATGAAATGAGTAAACTGAGCCAGACAAGTCAAGGCACTATCCAGCGAGGCAAGATGTACCCCCTGGCGCTGGTACTGTTCCACGAGTTCATGCAACGATGCAAAGGCTGGGATCAGGCTGCGCGTGCCATGTGGCAGGCCCTCAATTTCCCGACGCAGGAGGGGCTGGACATCGCGCAGGAAGGCCTGCAGCAGCGGCGTGGGCTTCTTGACTAATGCATGCACGAGGAAGGGGGTGGGATCTACACTCTGGTCTCCGACGACCAGGATGTGTCTGCTTCGTGGCTCCATGGCTGCACACACACAGTATCGAAAAAAGAAAAAGAAAGAAAGACTAGAATTTCACGCAAATACTCAATGTTAGGATGGCAGCAGCAGAAGCCAAACCATGCAGCTCTCTCACTAAGTACTGGGTTTACTTCCCCCTTTTGTCTACTTAGGGCACACCTCCCACCGGACAGGTTACAGCAAGGCTGTCCAGCCTCGAGTCCGCCGTCACATCACAAATCGTCTCCTCCCCCCTCGAGCTATAGTGGCTGATAGGAGAACGCAAACCCTAATGGTTCCGGACAGGATTCGACCTCCGATTATCTAAGATCCTGCAGGATCTGCTTACAGCACAGGGAGACGATCTAAGCGTCATCATCAGCGGAGATTTCCCCAAACGTTCATGCGTTCGCAACACGGCCACGATCCACCACCTCCGCCAGCTCCCTGCCCAACCCCGCGGCCTCGAACTCCTCCATGATCTCATTCCACAGCCGATCCATCAAGTCCGGTTCCTTGTACATAATGGGCGGGAATCTAGGGGAGATGGTTTGTCAGCATCACGCACATACGCATACACACAGCACTACACTAAAGATTGTGGCATAACGTACGGAAGAATCCTCCCTTCACTGAGCATACTCCCATGACTCAATGGACCCTGCGCCAGCGCCGCATCGAGATAGACCCGAGCGCCCAGCTCGGGAGTCCGGCCGATGAGGCGGATGAGACCGGAGACGACCGCGTGCTTGGCGCGGTTGTCGTCGGGTTCCCTGACGAAGGCAGTGCCCTTGCACAGGCCCGGACAGGCGACGTTGACGACCACCTCGTCCGCGGCGACGACATCGCGGGCCAACTTGGCGACGAACATCAGCACGAACAGCTTGGTCAGCTTGTAGCGCTCGAGGCCGTCGAACCCCGTGGGCGAGTTGGCCGCGGCCAGGAGCGAGGCGTGCCCGCGCAGCAGTCCGGCGGCATCGAGCCAGTAGGCTGTGTCCGATCCGACGAGCGTGAGACGGCCGGGGGCGGAGGCACGCAACGCCGTGCCGGGGCCCGGTTTCTCAGCAGGAGCCGGGGCCACGCGACGGAGGCTGGGCAGCAGCAGGAGGGCCAGCAGGGCCGTGGACAGGAAGTTCACCTGGAGGGTGGTCTCGCGGGCGGGACCGGGGTGGTTGGTGGTGATAGGTTGGTAGCGTTTCAGCGCGAGGCCGGCGTTGAGGATGGCGATGTCCACCCGCGCCAGCTCGGTCCGGCAGCGGGTGACGAACGCCTGGATCGAGGCGTAGGACGCCATGTCCAGCGGCCAGACCTCGACGTGCGCGGCCGGGAAGGCGGCGCGGAGCTCGCGCGCCGCGGTCTCGCCTTTGGGCTGGGACCGCACGGCCAGGATCAGCCGCGACAGCTGTAGGGCCAGCAGCTGGCGTGCGCAGGCTAGCCCCAGGCCCACATTGGCGCCGGTGACGATGGCGACTTGTCCGTGCAGGTCGGTCGAGACGGTGGGGATGCTGTGGAAGAGCTGGCGCTTGAAGAAGGCGCTGAAGGCCGCTTCCTTGGATGCCTGGGCTTGTAGCTTGGCTGACATGACGGGCGAATGGTGGGATGGGCAGGAGATTGGAGGGGGATGAGGAAGAGGGAGGAGTCATCGGGAGTTGGGGATAAGAGGAGGTGATGACATATACACAGATGGACAAATGGTCCTTTCCTACGATTGCGATAGGGTCCGATGTCCGATGCTTACATGCCTAGCGGAAAGAAGGAGTCCGGTCTGCGCCCGATACATGTAGGATTCTAGGGGTTTCTATTCGACAATACAGCTGGTGCATCTAGTACGCGCGGTGACGGAAGATGAATTTGTGCCCCCACCGTCTATCAATTTAATGAATTACAGGTAATCTCACGCTCAATGCTTCAGTGTCGGATGTCGCCGCTCGTAGAACAGCGAGCCTACAGAAACCACCACGCCCAGCGCACTCAGCCCCACCCCCACATACCACGCGTGGCGACACATAGCAAACAGATCCGTCTCGTCCGTCGTGTAGCGCAGCACGGTGCCCGCAATCCCCAGCCCGATGCTCATCGCGTAGTTATTGGTCGTGAGCAAGAGACTGGCGGCAATGCCCTGGTGCTCGCGCGGCACGGCGGCGGAGAGCATCATCATGGCCGCCGGAAAGGACATGTCCATGCCCCAGGGGACGATGATGGCCGAGAAAAAGGTCTGCGTCCAGTAGGTCTGGTGGACGGGCATGGTGGCCACCAGCACGTTCGCGACCAAGAACGCCACCATGGCCAGCACCATGATCACCGGCACGCCGACCTTGTGGATCATCAGGCCCGTCGCGACGGAGGCCACAAACCCGGACACCGCAGATGGGCTGTTCTGCGCGGTGGCCAGTAGGGGCGAGACGTCGCGCAGCTTCTCTAGGAACTGCCACAGGTAGTACAGCCAGATGCTGAAGGAGGACCAGCCCAGGAAGATGGCCCCGAGCACGAAGACGATATGCCAGTTCAGCGCGCGGATGGGGACCAGCGGTCGCGTCGCCCGCTTCTCCACGACCACAAAGGCGCCGAGGGCGAGGACGCCCAGGATCAACAGTACGTAGACGTAGGGGGTCGCCCAGCCCACCGTGGGACCTTGGTTCCAGGCCACGTTCAACAGGATCAGGCCGGAGACCCCCAGCACGAAGCCGGGCCAGTCCAGCCCACCCACGTCGGGACTGGCCTTGGAAGGTGTCGGAGGGAGAGTGAAGACTGCAGCAGCAGCAAGCAGCAGACATGCGAACCCCATGGCGAAGTAGGCCCAGGCCCAGATGCCGAACTGGGCGGGGATGGCGGTAAACAGGGCGCCTAGCATGTAGCCCCCCGGGGCGAACGCCCCGAACAGGCTGAAGACCATGCTCTTGCGCTTGCCCATGGGGTACGTGCGGCCGAGGATGGCCACCGCGTTGGGCAGCATCAGCGAGGCCCCCAGCCCCTGCAACGCACGCGCAATGACGAACAGTTTGTCGGAGCTGCGCAGGAAGTAGCTGGCGCCCGCGACAAACGACCAGAGCGCGTAGATGGCCAGCCCCCCGATCAAGATGGGCTTGGAGCCGTACATGTCGCCCAGCCGCCCAGCCACCAGGATGAATGTGCCCGTCGTGAGACTGAACGCGGCCAGGTACCAGCTGAGCTCGCCGTTGTCGGTGACATGGAAGTGATCGCCGATCATGTGCAGCACGGCCAGTCCCTGGCCCATGCCTGCTTGCGCGAGGATCTGGCAGGTGAGCAGGGTGCTGGTGAAGAGGACTTCTCGCCCCAAGGAAAAGGGAGGGCGTCCATCTTTGGGAGGAGGGGGAGGAAGAGGCAGTGGCAGGGTTTCGGCGTCAGAGGAAACCTCGCTGGGGAGAGGTTTTTCGGCCATTGAAATGCGGTCTAACGATGTCATGGGGAGGCATCCAGACTGGTAGAATGTAGAGCAGCAAGCAACTCAATTTAGGTTGGACACGATAAAGAGAAAAGAGCATAGAATAGAAATAATATCGCTGACGAACAACGGGGGAGCCGAAGGGCAAGAATGCGGGACCGGCGTTCGGGGCAGGCATACGGCCACGGAATCTCCCCCCAACGCCGTATGACCGGACATTGGCAAGAATCCTACGAATCCTGCAACTGACCTGACACTAATGCAGACTCTGCAGACAATGCAAGGCTAACTCCCTAGTCTCCGGACTTTCCCACCACTCATCATCACCCTCTTTACCCAGTCCCCCTTAGACAGCCTCCTCCACCACATCCCCGACCTCCGGCGCCGGCAACGCCTTGAACTGCAGCTTCTGCTTCCGCTGCTTACCCTCCCCGCTGCTAGAGGCCGTCGTCGTCGTCTCGTCCGGAAACTCCAAGCCGCGGAAGATGTGCTCGAAGTCCCACTCATTCCAGCGGACGAGGGGCCGGATGCCGGCGAACTTCCACTGGCCGTCGACCTTGCGGTAGTAGTGGGTGTTGGTGGCGTGGCCGTGGCCGCGCTTGCTGACGGTGGAGCGCGTGGCGTCGGTGTAGCGCAAGTGGGCGGCGCGCAGCTGGTGATGGCCGATGACTTCGGTCTCGGAGACGCGCTCCCACCAGTGCGCCCCCAGCAGGTGCTGCGTCTTCACGCAGGGGTCGCCCAGGAACCCCTCGGAGGAGATCATGGCCAGGAAGTCGTCCGCCTGCATCTCGGGCCAGAACCAGCGGTCGTCCATCACCAGGCGGTAGTCGATCTGAGCGGTGTCAGGGGGTTCAGGGAGAAGAAGAGGTTCGGGATACACGTACTCTTAGGGTTGGCGCGATGATGGCCCGGAGACGGTCCCAATCCTGTTTTACTCGTCAGCACTGATGGTTGATAGGGAATGAGGGCTCGTACTTTGGCATCGTAGCTGTCGCCCCAGTTGAAGGCGCATTTCTCGAGCTGAAGGTAGTCTAGAGATTAGGGCATCAGTACACACCGATCGATCGTGACTGTGCAAGTGCTCATTCACACACCCTCGAAGGAAATGGATAGATTGTTTGTCGCCATGTTGATTGGGATTAGGTTACCACTAGTGTGCAAGTGCTGTGGTCTCAGACTGTAGACTAGAAGAATAGTTTTATAATATTGTAGCCCTCGCTGTCTCATGCAAGGACACTGCGGAGTTCCAGGCAAGGTCCGTCAGGCATTTCCGACCCGTGGCAGGACTGCGACGGACTGAACGGAGCCCTAATCCATCCAACGCGAGCCAGGAATGTGCGTGGCAGTACCTACAGCAAAGCACTCTCATGTTGAAAGCAGCCTAGGAACACTATACTATCGCATTCATAAACTTCCAACTCAGTACATTACAAACACCGAAGCAGCACTCCAATCCCACGGTCGGAAACCAGCTCACTCCAACTCAAACACCAAAAGCAGCAACGCATCTAGATCAAATACTCGCGCAGAAGCTCCGTCACCTTGTGCCCCTCATCCAGCTCCGCCACCAAGCTAACAAACCCGTCCGGTCTCACGAGAGCCAAAGCCCCGACTCGCGGGTCCACCCCAAGCAGACGGTGCCCCGCCGCCTGCGGATCTTCGTAGATACGGTACTTCCACTGCGGCAGCGGGGCGGGCAGGCTCTCCAGACGCACCTCGTGGCGACTGTCGGAGTGCACGAGAAACAGATCCACGATGCGACCGCGGTTCTGCGGGTTGGCGTAGAAGATGTCCTCGAAGCCCCAGGCCGGGTTGGCGGCCGCGTCGAAGCGCGAGAGGGCCGACTCGGAGGAGGCCAGGTAGTCTGTCAGCGGCGCTAGGCGGCTGTCCTGAATGGCGGAGCCGACGAATGCACAGAGGTGGAAGCGGCCGTTCGACGGGAGGTCATTGAGCAGGTTGAGGTGCGTCCCGTCCAGGTGGCGGTAGACGTCTATGGGATAGAGGCGCTTGCCGGGGGTCAGGGGCTCGACGGCCAAGTGGTCGATGACCAGAGGCTCCTCGCAGGGCCGCGTCAGGGGCCCCGGCTGGTATTGCTGGCCGACGCCGGAGGTGAACCCCTGCGCTTTCTTGTAGGTGTCCTGGAACTGGGTGTCCTCGCGGAAGTCCTTGCGCGAGAAGAGGTGCGAGAACTGCACGTCGAAGTCGATGAGTTCCTGGGCCATCTGGCGGCGCTCCAGGGCGTAGGTGCTTAGTAGACTGGGTTGGGCGCGCCCTTGCAGCACCAATGCCAGCTTCCAAGTCAGATTGTAGGCGTCGGCGACGCTGGTGTTGAGCCCCTGCGCGGCCGAGGTGCTGTGTGTATGGCATGCATCCCCGAGAATGAACACGCGGCGCTGGTCCCAGAACTGGTCCACGATCCGCTGCTGCAGTCGGTACTGGCTGATCCAGAGGATCTGCTCGATCTCCATCTTGTAGGTGCCGGCCACATCGCGCACGCGCTGTCGCAGCAGCGTCTCCAGGGCTGTGTCGCTATACCGCGCGTAGCCATTGGCTCCGTTGATTCCGTTCACTCCGTTGGTCTTGGGCGATGGCTGCTCGGCCACCCGGCGGAGATCCTCGTCGTTGAGCAGGGTGTAGATGCGGTTTGTGTCCAGGGCGTTGGGGATCAGCATCATGCGGCCCTGGGCGGCGCGGATGGCGCAGCGGCGGCGCAGGTCGGGGAAGTCGCTTTGCAGCTGCACGTCGGCCACGCACCAGACCTCGTCCTGGCTACCGTGCGTCTCCCAGTCAAAGCCCAGCAGCTGCCGCGTCTTGCTGCCCGCCCCGTCGGCGCCCAGGAGGTACTTGGTGCGGCAGGTCGAGACGACGTTCGAGTGCCGGTGCTTGACCCGCACGTGCAGCGGATACTCCGTGTCATCGTCGACGTAGGCGAAATCGATCAGCTCCACCGGTCGATCGACCTGGCATCCATGGCGCTGCAGCTCTTCGTCGAAGGCGCGCTCCGTCTCACGCTGCGGCACGCTCAGAATCCACGGGTAGGGCGTGGTGGTCTGGATCTCCTGGCCGACGTAGGTGCGCTCCAGCTGCCCGAGATTGTTGGGCGCCCAGAAGGCCATCTCGCTGACATGGTTGCCCCGCGTGTCTAGCTGGTGACGGAGGTTGAGGGTCTGTAGGACCTCCTGCGTCCGGGGTTGGATTCCTGTCAATGTCCTTGTGAGTCTGTCTGTCTTTTTGGGGGTCCGTTACGGATGAAGTGGAAGTAAGCACACCTCCTGCATGGCCGGTCTGGATGCGTTCAGGGCGTACGTCAATCACCCGGACGTCAACCTTGTAGCGAGCCAGCGTCAATGCGGCCATGAACCCGGCAGGGCCTGCCCCGACGACCAGGACGTCGCATTTGCTATCAGCTGGCATCTTGTCTGGTTGGGAATGATAAAAGGACTAAAGAACTAATAAAGGTGGTGGACGAGTGTGCCTTGGGTGAGTGTGCTGTGGGCTGCAGTTATAGTTGTTCCAGACTGGTCTCGGGCAGGATCATGCACATCTGACTGTATCGTCCAAGCCAACGCGCGACGGACATCGGCATCCGGCCTTGGAGAGGGGGCTGTCCGATGTCCGGCACTTCAGGCTTCAGGCTAGCTTCTGACAAGGGCCCTTGTCCGTTGTCTGCTGAGAGGTCGTAGGGGTCAGCACATCGAGCGTTGGAAGGTATACCGCACAAGAAACGAGAAGAGCCGGGGAGTACCTTTTAGAAAAGGATGTTGCAATGTACTTTTCATGCCACGGTCTATAACAATGACTAGTAATTTAGGAGTAAGATTGATGAAATTCCACACTAAGAAACAACGCATTTACAATCTGCGATTTGTACGTGTCCGTCCATTTACATGCGTATCGTGCGTGACATCAAAGAAAGGCCATGTACACTTCTCTAAAGCAGCAGAATCAAGAGACTAGAAAGCAAAACTGCACCAGTTACACTGTATCTCCCTTACGCACTGGAACCACCCGTCAACTTGATCACTTGGCCTATTCGCATCAAACATTAGCATTCGTTGGATCCGACTCGAGGAAGAAATACTCACCGTTGATCCACTCGCCCTCTGCCGAGCTCAAAAAGGCAACCACCCGTGCGACATCGAGGGGCTTGCCCGTGCGGCCCAGCGGACACAGGCTCGCAATGCCCTTGTCGATCTGCTCGATGGGCATCCCGGGGTAGCCGTCGGGGGCGTAGTGCCACGAGTTCTCGAGGTACATGTCGGTGTAGATGCCACCGGGGGCGACGGCGTTGACGGTCATCTTCTTAGGGCCGCAGTCGGCGGCGAAGCTGCGGGTGAAGCCCTCGACGGCGGCCTTGGAGCCGGCGTACAGGGCGTGGTTCTTGACGCCGGTCATTTGAGCCGCGACGGAGGAGGTCAGGATCAGGCGGCCGCCGTGACTGCCGTACTTGAGGGCGTGCTGGGCGACGAAGAACTGGGCGCGCGTGTTCAACCCAAACACCTCGTCGTACAGCTCTGCGGTGACATCCTCCTCGGCGGAGAAGGCCTCCATCCCGGAGTTGGACATGACGATGTCGATCTTGCCAAAGTGCTCGATCGCCGTCTCGAACAGCCGCGTCACCTCGGCCGGCTGGGTCACGTCCGCCTGGATGGCGATGGCCCGAGGTTTGCCAGGGAGGGCTTCGATCTCGTCGACGACGCGCTGGGCGGCCCCCGCGGAGCGAGCGTAGTTCACCACGACCGAGGCCCCGTGGGAAGCGAGCTCTTTGGCGATGGCGGCGCCCAGGCCCCGGCCGGCGCCGGTGACTAAGGCGACTTTGTCAGTGAGGTCGAAGGAAGTGGGCATTGTGATTGATCTGGCGGCAAGATTGATGAAGAGATGAGTTTCTTGTCAATGGTGTAGGTGAATGATACAGTGTGGCGTGACAAGACTGCAGTCCATCTCGATATAAAGTATCACACCTCTTCGATGGGAATCTCTCAGCCCGCCAAGCAGTCCGCGCTTATCTTCCGCATCGGACAATCAGCCAATCCCAACAAAATCCATGCCAGCCGCAAGGCTGTCAACATGGCAGCTAAGGAATCGCCCCGAAGCATTCAGAAAAAATGAATCCAATCAGTCGCGTAAGGACAAGTGCAGTCCGACATCTCATCCTGCACGCCTGCGTCGAGCGGACTCCACCGGCCATCGAGTCCGAAATCCTCCCCGAGGTCAGCATCCATAAAAATACCCCTGTCAACAGTCAATACCACCAACGCATTCAATATGTTCAGCCCATACTGCTACATTTCCCCGTTCTATCTTCTGCAATCCTCCTCCAATGTCTCCCCGGCTCGACCCCACCACCCTCGACCTCTCCACAAAGAGCATCCCCGCGCGCGAGTCTCGGGGTACGTATCTGAGCTCAACCGTCATTCGAGCCCCCGCCACCGAAGCATGGGACGCCGTGGTTAACACTGGCGCCTGGTCGACATGGAACACCTTCTGCCCCGGAGCCACCATCCGCGCGCAGCCTGACCAGAGACAGTCGACGCGGCTGCACCTCAGCACGAAGATGACCATCCATCTCAACTGGAACCCCCAGGGACCTAGAGCCAAGCCGGCAGATGTGGCCCTGGTGGTGACCGAGTTCGACCCGCCCAAGGACGGGCGACAGACAGCCGCGCGCATCGCGTGGGCGACCGATCCCTCGGGCAAGGGCTTGCCCGCGTGGCTGTTGTATGCGGAGCGCGTGCATGAGTTCCATGAATTTGTGGAGGAGTCGGCAAACGGGAAACTGAAAGGGAACGGGAATCAACGCGTCACGCAGGTGGTGTCGTGGGAGTCGCAGCGGGGTCTGCTGGCGTATGTGGTCAAATGGTTCATGGGGAAGAAGTTCCGCGCGTGTCTGCAGGTGCAGGCTGAAGACTTAAAGTCTTTCGTTGAGAAAGGAGGAGAGAAGAAGATTGACCGATGAGAAAGGATGGAAAGATTGTTTGCTTTCCTTGAATATGTTCTGTCCTGTTAATCTTTCCTCGCTGATGAGGCTTCTAATGTAACTTCACGCTGCCGGTCGGGTGGTACCGCATAATTCTGCGAACACAAGCAAGGATTGGCCTTTGGCGTTCATAGATGCCGGTATATGGCATCATCTTTGGAGTATCGCCACTTCTAGGCAGTAATATCATACACATGTGTAGATCAGATGCAAGTAGAGGGAGAAAAGAGAAGAGAAAAGGGTCGGTGAGAGCTGTTGTAGTGTGCAAGAGAAAAGAAACGTGACGCTGCTTCCTCGGTCGGCTTATCGATTGTATTGCTGCCTGGGGCATCAAGGCCCACCGGCTTGGCCGATTTGGCCGATTTGGGCGATTTGGCCGGTTTGGCCGGTTTGTTGTTCCATCGTAGAGGATTAGTTGACAACTTACAACGATATGGCGCTTCGGAGTAGAATGCAACTATTCGAATGTAAACAATGCCCGTGATCTACCCCCACTGGGTTCAGGTAAACAAATGCCGCGATCTGCTTCGAATCGAGCAGTCTGAAAAGCGCAGCGAGAGATATATACTGCCTAAGTCCCGACCATTACGGCAAACCCTCCTAGCAGAACCGCCCAATTAACCAGGAACCCCCCCGGTCGCGTTTACTAGCTCTTTCTATGGAGAGAATCTTCAGTTCCCGCCAGATGCTTGGATAGTGGTAGTCAGAGACGGTGCTCAGTACGACTCACCATCGGTATCAGAAAGTTCACACTTGAGGCTCCACTCTTGACGGGCCAGAAGTATTCCAAGTTCTCATGCGCCTGGGGAACGGAGCATAGAGTGCGTGAGGCTGTGGGAGTGGCGCTGGGCGGGCTGATCCGCCCTCGGCCCGGGCATGGGCAGGCATGGAAGTCCTACCGCATATGAACTCAGGGCTTCTTGGCTGACATACCCTTTCACGATCTTATGACCACTGCTTATCTTGGCTGGATTGAGTTGGCTGGTGGAGTTGATCTTATTGGTCCGTTCGTTCTTACTTGCTACAATACTACATGCGTATATGTGTTGTAAGTTAGCACTGGGCCTGTCCCCCGAGACACTAAAATCAATGCCGAGAGAGACCTGCCGGACGATCTGTCCACCATCCAACGGATATCGGATGGAATGCGCCGAGCTGTGTACTAGACTTGCCCAAAGATCAGTCATGGTGACGTCGGATGTCAGCATGCCAAGATGGGCGTGGCAGTGTTATGCCTGTTGCCCTGAATGACTCGTGGTGCACAGCTTGGCGCCACTGCTGCCCAGCATCCATGCTTGACTATGCGTATGCTTCAGGGCTTCAACCACCGCATAAAAACCCTCCAGCACGCACGGCTTCAACTACCAAGCATCAGTAACGATCTCGCGCCCATTCCCCGACTCATTCATCAGAATCCACAAAAACATGCAATCACTCAAATATATCTTCTGCCTCTCCCTCCTCTCTCCACTGGCAACCGCCCAATCCTCCAACCAGGCCAACTGCACCGTCTTCAACTGGGACCACGACGAAGCCTACCTGAAAACCTACCCTCCCCAGCGTGTCTCCGCCGCGGAGACCTGCTCCAGCAACGCAAACCTGACCTGCGCCCTCACGGCCGCCGGCGACGCAAGCTACACCGCCCGCACCAACCTCACCAGCCTCTCCGCCACGGCCTTCGCGACGGTCGTCGACGAGACGGTCGGAAATGCGACGCTGACTGAGGAGTTCAGTGACTCGACCGTGGGAGCAATCGACGGCACGCGCCTGCTCCGTCCGGGCCAGTCGGCCTATTTGAACTTCACGGCCTATCAATACTGCTACACGGGGACGGTGGAGGGCTGCACGTCCGGGGTGGAGAATCGGACGGCGGTGGAGGCGTGCGCACCGCTGTACCATACCAGTGCGGATAATTCGGTGGTGATGGATGGGCTTCTTACAGTTGTCAATGTGAGTCAAGGGCAGGTAGGGCAATTGAAGGATCCGTATGAGAATCAGCAGCGCGGGGAGGGGGGAGTCGTCAGTGTAGGAAGGGCTGAGTGGGGGGTGGTGATGCTTGGGATTTTGGGTGTTTTGATGGTTTAATGTGACTTAGGATATGCTTTCTTTATCTGGTATTGTGGTTGATCTGGTTCAGGATCAGATGTGAAATGCCAGTATCTTGCTTGTTTTTCGGGATTGCAGCTTGGCCAACCCGCCATCAAGGCATCAACCAACGAGCTACTGTGAGGTAATCTTGATATATTTTATGGATTTCTACAAGACAGTATGCGTTCTAATGCCCATCTTTAATCTCGATTTGTGATTTATAGTACTAGTCTAGTGGTATAGCTGATCAGTTACTGTATCCTCCGGAATTGCGAGCATCCGTAGATGTTTCAAAATGTGCAACTAATATAGTGTGCTTGCTAGAAGCTTAGAAAATGAACAATGATGCATCAAGCTATTTCTGTTCGATGAATGGTCGTTGACCACACTATTTTCGGCCCGGCCCTCCTTTACCTACTCGGTAATCGCTTCTTGATTTCCACGCGGTGCCCATGCAAGAGACCGGATAGGGTTAGTGGTTGGGGGCAGTGCCTGCATACCAGGTTCTGAGTTGGAGAATGTCTATAAGGCAGTGCTCATGATAGCATATTTCGGTCGCTAAGAAGCTGACGCAAGGTAATTTGCAGTTTCACTCAGTTATCGAGCAATACATGACGAAGCGTAATCGTCTATAGCAAGTGCCTGACATCTCAGCTGCGCCTCTGCAGAGATCTCATTGGCGTAACACACAATTTCCAACCTCCAAATCATAGCACATTCTCTTCATACCAAATCCAACTCATACCGCTCAGCCCTAACTATCCCTCGACCCAACACGGGTATGACTACTAGCTGCCAGTATAATCAGATTAGCATCTACCCCAAGTTCAAATATCTTCCACGCCGGAAATCCTTACCAATAGACCCCTTCCCCCCCTTCAAGTAAGCATGATAGTCCGCCTCCTCCTCGCCCCCCATCGACCCCGCCGTCAGCACCGTCGTATCTCTGTGTGCGGTACTCCGGCCCAACACACTCCGCAACCCGGTGATCGTCCCGCGCGGGATGCGCGGAAACCCCCATCGATTCTTGTCATGGACCGGGGCAGTCCGCGGCCGGCTCTCCACCTCCGAGCCATCCGTCCGCTGCTTCCACGTCCGCTTGATCCGGCTGAGGTAGCCGCGCACGCGGTCGGAGACCTCGTTCGACCCGATCAGGGTCGACCGGTAGGCGGTGATGGAGGCCATGGTCACCCCGATGCAGGCCTCCGCGTGCAGCCAGAACACCTGCCACGGGTAGTCCAGGGCGTTGCGGTAGTAGGTCCCCGCGGCGCGGATGATGGAGCAGGCGAACATGAAGCCGGAGAGGCAGACGAAGCAGCCGATGCCGAGTTTGGTGAGCGTGCGGAGCTGGACGTTGCGGAGGAGGAGGATGGGGATGGTGACGACTTGGCTGGATGGTTAGCAGGTCGATTGGGGGAGGAAGAAGGGGATGGGATGGGATGGGATGGGAGGGGGTAAGCCAGACGCACTGATTAAATCGCTTAGAGCGTCGAGGCAGGGGAAGGCCCAGAAGGCGGCGAGTAGTGAGGTTCGTGATGCGGGAAGATCGGGGAAGCATTTCTCTGGGTTGGGTGAGGTTGAGTTAGATGCTGATATACGGCTGTTGTGAGGGAAGAGTGAGTGGGATTTGGGGGGAGACGTACTGCCTGCCTCCTCCCCGAGGTACGGACATGCGATGAGCTCTTCGCCCACCACGATCGCGATCCAGGATGCGACCGAGAAGACGATCGCGAAGCGGTAGTACCAGATCAGCTTCCGCGAGACGTTGCGCAGCAGCGGGTAGAAAAACGCGAAGTAGCACCATTTGACGGAGAAGACCACCGTCCACAGCAGCGTGATATACCCGAGCTGCCACTTGGACTGCTCCAGTAGTTTGTCGTAATGCTTGATGGCGAGCGCATACGCGGCCGAGTCCCCGGAGAGCACCCCGAACAGGATGTAGACGATCTGCACCCGCAAGTAGAGCATGGCGGTCACCACGCACAGACAAATGAAGGCGAGGATGAGAAAGCCATCGTCTAGGTAGAGTCGTCGTCGGGTGAAGAGGCGGATGAAGATGCGTCCGGAGAAGGATAAGAATGCCAGGCCGAGAAGGACGCCGATTGCGATCTGGTTTGGATGTTAGGAGAATTCTCGAGTGGTGCAGTGGGTAGTGGGTATAGTAGTGTCGTCAGCTCACCTTGAACTGGTACAGTGTAATCCGTCCGGCACCGTCGATAGATTTCTCCGCTTCCGCAATCTGTTCCGGGCTCAGGCTCGAGGCGAAGGCATTGATCACGCCTGAAGATACATCCATGATGGTTGGGGTTCTTGCGGGATTCACTGGTGATGCTGGTCTAGCGTGTTCGCAGGTGGTGCCTTCGAGGCCTCTTAAGTAGATTTCACCTGGACGTACCAGGACCGAGTCAATGGCCGCAGCAGCATTTGATGCTGTCTTAGATGGTGGGCCGTACTGCAGTCAAGGTGGTCAAGCATGCGCCTGTAGTGGGATGCATGCCGCCAAGCCCTTGTGCCTGAGTGGGGGCGCAACCACGAAGTAAGCATGTAAGCCCAGCACTGCCTTCTCAAACCCCAGTCCAACCCTCTTGATGACGCTGAAAGTCACACGGTCCGTGCGAATGGCCCCCACCGGGCTGTCAAAAGAATGTCCGAACTGCCTTGTGGTGGTCAACACCACAGTGCTATCTACATACCGTGCCCTCAGTCACGCAACTAGACTAGAGACACTGCCCGGAAGGGGCGGGCTGTAAAAATCAAGCAGCAGCAGATACAGTAAACCAAAACAGAGGAAAAGAAAAAAGAGATTCTATTTTATGGGTCCGACAGAATGCCGGTAGGTGGTTGTCATACAGATCACCATCAAGGTACTGTCTAACGTGCATGAAACATGGTAGTCAGTACCTCTGCATCACAACGCCAGGTTCTGAGGGTTGCAAAGGGGCACATAGTGAGTGTATACTGGACAATTCCGTCACACCAATGTCGCTTGACAAACACCACTTGGGCTGCAACTAACCCAGTCACCAGCTGCTTGAGCTTTTACGAAACTTCATCTTCTGGATTTGCAATGTCTTATGTGATGAATTCTCAGCGATTGCTATTCTGCCTTCCTAGGTTGCTTCCACGGCTCAGTCACTCTCTTGCTCAGTTGGCAGCTTCATCGTGATCATCGGTGGCTCTTCCCAGAAGCGAGTGAAGAGCTCATTAAAGACCTCAAACGCCGGACGTGCATAGGTCTTGCCTTGGTGCCAGCCAAACACAACCGCGAACACGGACATACTGCCCATGTCCACAATCCATGCTCCGCTATCGACCGGGTAGCCCGCCATCGACAGGGTATACATCCGGCCGACGGGGGGCATGTCGATCACGTTGAGCTTGCGACTCTTCAGCCGACGCGGACGGTGATTGACTGCAACATGCAATCGACCCGCCGGGACGCTGCACTTGGAGATCGAGTGCAGCGAGGTCGTATCCTCGTTGGGACACAGCGCCTGATCGTCCAGACGGACCAGAGCCCAATTCCCTTCCAGATGCCAAAACTTCGGATCTGCTGCACCGAGACCCGGGAGGTCAGGGATCGCCCCGATCCGCTGGTCGGTCTGGTAATCATAGGCCTCGAAGGCGAAGAATGGGCACAATTTCACGTCACTCGAGCAGAGCGGGGAGTTCCCGGCCTCGTCATAACTCGAGATGGGCGCCCACAGGGCTTCCTCGTTCTGCTCCTCGGACACCGGAGTCTTCTCCTCGATGAACATGGCCTCTTGGTCTGGGACCGCTAGGAATGGGCGAAGGACTGTCAGTCCGTAGACGGTTCCATACAGCGAGACGATCCCACCGATGGTGGCTTCTCGCCGCGGATCGCCTTTTTGGCCAACGTAGAATCGAGATCCGCAAATTCTGGAAGCCATTTTCACCAACTGGAAAGCCGGGTAATTTATGAGGGTTGGGATTTGAATTCAGCAGGCTGTTCACTTAGAACCGTGGTATTTAACCTCTTCGTCCAGCTGCGGATTTTGAGCTCTCTCTGTGCGTTTCTTTATACTGGTCGACACAGTGTCGTGTTCACTGAGGCGACTCATTATATCAATGTTGAGACTTCCCGCTACCATTCTTTGAGAGCGTTCATTGCCCACGTCCCGCCTCTTCTTAGTCTATGTCCTTTTTTACCAACAACCTGTATCATTATCTGCTGCCATAGAGCCGTCTACAATTGGTCTGCAGCGATGAGCCACTGGCTGTTCCATGGCTGGTTCTATTTGCAATCCTAGAGGCCGGGCCGCAACGCGGTGCGGATGCGCCATTCAGCAGCCCGATATCGATGCAAATCAGGTACTGCTATATAACCCATGGAAATCCTCAAGCCCACTCATCCCGGTAACCCGTAATTTTGTACCTCAGAAAAACAGAATCATACTTTTCGTACCATACTGCCGCCAACCATCTACAATCTAATGCTCTAGATCACCGCACTGCGCTTCATGAACCCGACAATGCGCCCAAACATGTCTACAGGGTTGGAATACATGGGGAAGTGGCCGCTCTGGGGGATCTCCGCCAAGGCGACCCCGTGCTCGCGCAAGGTGCCCAGATACGACAGGTCGCGGTTCAGCTCGCCGTACATGAACATCCGGGGACACTGGAGCGCCAGGAAGCAGTCCATCAGGTCCCCGCCATCGGACAGCTCCACCATGGACCGGAAGATGGGCTCGATGGCGGCGGACCGGACGCGCGCGGGCAGCGTCGACGCGTACAGGGCGGTCGAGTAGGCCGGGTTGCTGCGCGTGCGCTCGATAAACATCTCCAAGAATTCCTCCGGGGTGGACCCCGGGTGGGTGAAGATCTGGCGGCTGAGGAAGCAATCCTCCGGAGCCAGGTTGCCCTTGATGTCGACGAAGCTGAGAATGTGGTCCGGGTGGCGATCGGCCAGCATCAGGGCCACGAGCCCGCCCATCGAGTGGCCGATCAGGTGGAAGCGGTCGACGCCGTAGTGGTGCAGCACGGCCTCCGCGGTGGCGACCATGAAGGCGATGGTGGCGGCGCTCGGGTCGGCGGTGTGTGTCGCGGCGCACCCGGGCGCGTCGTAGGCGAGGAAGGTGTGCTCCTTCAGCGGTCGCTGGAAGATCAGATCGTGCAGCTCCTCTTTGCACGAGCCGAAGCCGTGCAGCCACAGGATGGCGGGTTGCGAGCCACGGCGGATCAGCGCGGATATCTGCAGGGCGTTCCCTTCCACGGTGATCGGGAGCGTTTCGTATTCGGGGGTCTCGGAATTCATTGTGCTGGGATTTCTCTTTGTTTCGCGATCTGAAAGGAGATACTATGGATGAAGTGGATGCCGTATAGCTGATATCTGGTAGTATGTGAGGCTTTGGTCGCACCCTCGACTCCTACTATTGAAGCGGGGCGTAGGGCTCCCGACTAACAGTCAAATGTTCGTAGACCGATGGGGGTCTTGGATATTCAGAAAACATCCATTCCACTGATACAACTGAAACTCATGGACTGATAGCATGAGAATCATGGCGGTAGTTGAACTAGTTAAACTTGTTGAACAAAGCCAAAGAGGGTCATCGAACAGGTTTTATCCGACTTCTTCTGGCGGTGGTTAGTCACGTGGGCTGTTCATGTCACGTGGGATGGGATGATCTCATCGCCGTCTTTCTCTCTCTCTCTTTTTCTTCCTCCATCCTCCATCCTCCTTCCAAGATCTCTCCCTGACCATCCGCGGTCTCAGACCCTCGAAACAAGGCTGAGGCTGTTGCGCCTTTCGGAGAACTCCCGAACAAGCCAAGAAAAGATTGGACCCTGATGAGCTAGCTGCCTACCCATTCAAAGAACCCCGAACGAAGGGACGAGATGAGCGACCCACCGGTTCCTTGTTCGTCAGTCAATCACCCGCGTGTCCCGAGCTTCCGATGATGTTCCATGAAGCAATGGGCTGTGGACCCCAAAGGCCCTGATGGCGTCACTGCCCGCACTTGCGTCTGACTCTTCGATATTGCGGTCTCGCGACCTGCACGTTTTTTTCTCTTTCTCCTTCCATTCGCCTTGATTCGCCTTGATCCTTCTCCAATTTACCCTACTCTTTTCTCTTTCTTGCTTTTCCTTCTTTCCTGATCAGTCACAGCACTGCCACCCTCTACAGACACAATTCTCAATCCAATCTCCAACTCTCCTCACCCCTGCATGGTCTACCCCATCTGCCAGCACCCATGCCGTCCCACCATGGCTCAACAGCCGACGACTGGCCTGAGGATCGGCTCGCCCACGACGAGCCCTCTTCCAGCGGCCATCGTCACTCCAATCGGCGCGCCCATTACCATGAAAAAGGTCTAAATACTGGGGTGCGGATTATGGGTGCGTGTCACGACAACCCCGTCCTGTGTGACAATAGCTAACCGTTATACCCATTCTCCAGACGATGGCCGTCTTGATATCAAATTCCGCGACCGCAAACCCTGGGTCACCAGGATCCTGCAACACCTCCAATCCCAACCACCCGAACTCGAGAAAGGCAAGAACGATTTCTGTATCAATGCAGACGATTGGGACGAGGAACACCAAAGCCCCCTCAAACTCAACATCGTCGTCCAAGTGGTCGGCTCCCGCGGGGATGTACAACCGTTCATCGCGCTGGGCAAGGTGCTCAAGTCCCACGGCCATCGCGTCCGCCTCGCGACCCATCTGGCTTTTCGAGAAGTCATCGAGGACGAAGGGCTCGAGTTCTTCAGCATCGGAGGGGATCCTGCGGAGCTGATGGCGTTCATGGTCAAGAATCCCGGGCTGATGCCGCATATGAGTACGATACGAAGCGGGGCGATCCGACGGCGACGGCGGGAAATGAAAACGATATTCTCGGGCTGCTGGCGGTCGTGCTGGGAAACCGGCGACGGGACGGGCATGCATCACATCCCCGACGATCCCTGGAGCGAGACGGGCGACTACAGGACCAAGCCGTTTGTGGCCGATGCGATCATCGCCAACCCGCCCAGTTTTGCGCACTTGAGTTGTGCGGAGAAATTGGGCATCCCCCTGAACATGATGTTCACGTAGGTGTTTTGAGGCCACGCGCTTGGATTTGGTTTGTGGCTGACAACGTGATCAGGATGCCATGGTCGGCCACGCAGTCATTCCCCCATCCGCTGGCCACGGTGCGGTCGCAAAACACCAAGCCGTCCGCGGCGAACTTTGCGTCGTATGCGATCGTCGAAATCATGATGTGGGAGGGTCTGGGAGACTTGATCAACAAGTTTCGCAAGCGCGAACTGGGTCTGGATCCGTTGGATGCTATCCGTGCGCCGAGTATAGCACATCAATTGCAAATCCCATTTACGTATCTATGGTGAGAGACAATATCCCTGTTCGTGATGACTCTCATTGACCGGTCTAGGTCGCCGGCTCTCCTGCCCAAGCCTTCGGACTGGGCCGAGAATATCGATGTGGTGGGTTTCTCGTTTCTTTCTTCAGGGTCCGACTACAAGCCTCCGGACGACCTCGCCTCCTTCCTCAAAGCAGGCCCTCCTCCCATCTATATCGGTTTCGGATCCATCGTCGTCGACAACCCAGGCTCATTGACCAGGATCGTCTTCGAGGCCATTAAGGCGAGTGGCCAGCGGGCCATTGTGAACAAGGGCTGGGGGAATCTCGGAGCCGACGAAAAGGACATTCCCGACAACATCTTGATGATCAGCAAGGCTCCACACGACTGGCTGTTCCAGCACGTTTCCTGCGTGGTGCACCACGGTGGGGCCGGCACTACGGCCGCCGGCCTGGTGCTGGGCTGTCCCACGGTGATCATCCCCTTCTTCGGCGATCAGCCCTTCTGGGGCTCCATCGTCGCGCGTGCGGGTGCGGGTCCACAGCCGATTCCCTACAAACAATTGACGACGGAGAAGCTCACGGAGGCGATCAAGACGGCCTTGGAGCCCTCCACCAAAGAAAAGGCCAAGGAAATCGGTGAGCAGATGCGCTCGGAACAAGGTGTGCGGAATGCGGCTATAAGCTTCTATCAACATCTCGACTTGCAGAGTCTGCAGTGCTCAGTCTGTCCCCATCTGCCGGCCGTATGGTGGGTCCGGCATTCTCACATCAAACTCAGCACATTCGCGGCGGCAGTGTTGGTCGAGACGGGGTTGATCGACCCACGGAACGTAGTCCTGTAAGTTATCATTTACCACATGTGCAAGCAATTCACGCTCAACTCCACCAGATACCGGTCGATCGAATACGACACGAACCGCGACCCTCGCGGTCCCCTGACCGCCGGCGCGGAGGTTCTCTACGGCATCGTCTCCGGGTTCGTCAGCGGCATCGCCGACGTCCCCAACGGCGTGGCAACGATGTTCTCCACATCCCGGGAGCATCGGCACCGTCGCCGGAAGGAATGGAAGCACGTGCGCGAACTGCAACAGCGGGACGGTGCGTCCCTCTACCAGCGCACGAAGTCCTCTCTTGATTCCGGGGTTGGGGAAGAGAGCAGCCAACTGAGCCAACGCGACCTCCAGAAAATGCGCGCTCAAGCGAACCGGCCCGTCAACACTGCAAGCCACTCCCGCCTATCATCCGACGAGTCCGACGAGGCCTACGTCTCCGCCGAAGAAGACCACCCCAGCGACAGCGCCAGCGAGTCGAGTCGCTCCGACCATGGCGGAGAGACCAGTCCCCGGACGAGCTCCGGTAGCTCCCAGACCACGGTAGAGCCAGGCACGGACCCGGTGATTGGCGAGGAACTCGACCTGGAGCGGACGATCACCCGGCTCCGCACGCGCGAGGAGTCCGGCGCGAAAGAGTTCTTCGGGGAAGCCACCTATCACGCCGGGAAGATGGCCAAACACATCCTCAACTGGGCGATCACGATCCCCACTGACGTGACGCTGAGTCTGTCCAAGGGGTTCCACAATGCCCCGAAGCTGTACCATGATTCCACGGTGGAGAAAACGCCCAAGGTGCTAGGTGTGAGGAGTGGGTTCCGCGCGGCAGGCACGGTAGGTCCTTCCTGGCTCGACGGTTGGATAAGCGTGGAACTGGTGTGGCTGACAATATGAGCAGGAATTCACGCATGGCCTCTACCACGGCGTGACCGGCTTGATCACCCAGCCGATGCTCGGCATGGAGAAATCCGGCGGCGGCGGCTTCGTCAAGGGAGTTGGGAAGGGTGTGGGCGGGGTGCTCTTTAAGCCTACTGCCGGTAAGTCGCTTCTCTGGTTTACTGTTTCCCCGGGGAGGTCAATGTGCTGATCGAGGGCGGTAGGCATCTGGGGCCTCGCAGGATACCCGCTGGACGGGATCCACAAGAGCTTGCGAAACTCCCTGGCCAAGAGCAAGACGAAGGAGATCCTCACCTCGCGGATCAAGCAGGGCATCGAGGAGATGAGTGCCGCGACGCCGCAGCAGCGGGCGGAGGTCATCCAGCGGTGGAATGAGTTGGTGAAGGAAGAAGGGGGTGCTGCGGCGGATAGTGGTGGTAGTGGAGATTCGCATCCATGACGACGAGGAGGATGAACGCGGCAACTAGAACCTAATCGGATTTATAATACTGTACAGTACAATGACTCGGACCATGATAAATGAAGATTCAGAGCTACGAAAGCAACGACTACCTAGGATATCCTACTTGACAAATGGAGGGTGCGGTGCTAGCACTAACATCCATCGCTAGACCTTGGTAATATTCCTTCGACGCTGCTGTACCCTACAATTCTCTGCGTAAGCCCTGTTCACTAGTTATCTCGAGTCACGTACTGTCTCACATAGAGGAGGTCAGGGCCCATCTTTCTACCTGCGAGAATGTGCTATACTGTGCTGTGCCGACGAAAGGGGAAGGAGAGGTGGGAAATGAAGCTCCGTACGACATCTGATTTTCTCGCGACCCGGGGACGTAGGTGAACCATTCATTCACTGCAAAGCGATGAGGCTCAATACTTGGCCTCGATGATATGGTAGTGCATCTGCACTGGAGGGGAAGCTCCAGTGCCCTTCAGCCTCATGGGTAATCCGTCCGTTTTGGTTTTTTTTTTTTTGGGGGGGGGGGGGGGGGGGGGGGGGGGGGGGGGGGGGGGGGGGGGGGGGGGGGGGGGGGGGGGGGGGGGCTTCACTTGTGGAAGTCGGCTCTGGTAGAGGCCGGGTGGTTTTCCCGGGTTCTCCCCGATAAAACACCGCAAAGCCTCAAAGCGAGACGAGATAGATAAGTGAGCGACGTAGATCAGATGGCAAGGGGCGCATAATGTACCTTGCCTGTAGTGGTTGCTTGCTAAGAACTGCGTGCGGCATTCGGCTGTGGCAAAGCCTTCCGCGAACATGATTTAGGCTACGAATGATGATAATGATAACCGAGGGGGGGGGGAAGCTGTCGGCCGATTCGAGAGACCTGGTAAGCAAACCAACAAAAGCGAGGTCGAAGGCAACTTGGACAGGTCGAGCAGAGGTGAAATTTAAGGTGGAAGCACGGTGGAAGCCCGGCCTGCTTTGCATCCCAAGGCAAGGGCGAAGACACGAGTCAGATGTCAAATTGGTGGCGCGGTGAACAGCCTGCATGTGCATGTTTCACTGAGGAGTGACTTTCTACTTAGAAGGTCATTCTCATGTAGCACAAACGAGCAGGCACAGGTCCATGAGGGTTGACTCTTATATCTTATGATGGTTGGCTCTACTTACTAGATACTAGATACCCAACTGACACATCACATCACAAGTGTGTGAACTAAGGCGTGCTCCGCTATTCTCTGGACTTGGGGACTCAAATCAGCTAGCTCACTTTGTCTTGGCCGGATTCGCATTGTTCAAGAATATTCCCTGGATAACTGACTGTGCTGTTGGAGAAAGTAGCCTATGAACGATAAAGTCAATTGCTCGACACCGACAACAAAGGCCATCGCTTGTTCGACATCTAATAACATGCCGGTCCCCGAACGTGATACCGAGCATGCTTTAGCTCAAGAATTCAGCAAAGTCCTTGGAGCAAAGATTGAGACCGCTGATAGCTTCTTTGATTATGGCGGGGACTCCATCGATGCTATAATGGTGGCATCGCGGATCAACAAACAGCTCGATGTTGCCATTACTGCTCAAGATGTTTTCGAGTGCTCAGACATCGCCACCTTGGCCGAGCGAATCACACCATTACCACGGTCGAATAAATACGTCTTGTCGAGTTCGTCTGCGTACCAGGGTCGGATCATCAGGAACCACACGGAACACTGCACGGAGCCCTGGCTATCGTGCCCTCGCGCCCGGAGAGCCTGGCCTACGTGATGTTTACCTCGGGATCCACCGGCCGTCCCAAGGGGGTCATGATCGAGCATCGCGGCATCATCCGCTTAGCGAAGAGCAAGGGCACACTACTGCGCTCTCCGCCGGATTACCGCATCGCTCACATGGCCAACCTGGCCTTCGATATCTCAACATGGGAGATCTACACGGCACTCCTGAACGGCGGGACTCTGATCTGCATCGACGACATGGCCGTGATGAACGCGATCCGGTTGGATGAGGTGTTCAGCACCGCGGGCCTCCACGCCGCGATGTTCACCCCCGCGCTGCTCAAGAGTTGCCTGGACGAACACCCGCAGACACTACGCAGCCTCGGCCTGCTGATGGTGGCAGGCGATCGCTCGAGCCCGAAGGACCTGGCCATGGCGCAGGGGCTGATCAAAGGTGGGGGCGCGGTCGTCAATACGTACGGCCCGACGAAGAACACCGGGGGAAGCACGATATACCGCGTCCCTCGCGGGGAGCGATGCGTGAATGGGGTGCCGATCGGCCGGGCCCTCACGGACTCCGGCGCCTACGTGATGGATCCGAGCCTGCGTCTCGTGCCCCCCGGGGTCATGGGGGAGCTGGTCGTCACCGGTGCCGGGCTCGCGCGAGGCTACACCGACCCGCAGCTGGACCAGGGCCGCTTTGTGACCGTCGAGATCGGCGGGCAGCCCACCCGGGCGTATCGGACGGGGGATCGCGTGCGGTATCGGCCAACGGATGGGCAATTGGAATGCTTCGGGCGGATGGACCAGCAGGTCAAAATCCGCGGCTATCGCGTCGAGCTCGCGGAGATCGAGCAGACCCTGCTCGGCCACGGGTCGGTCAGCGATGCTGTGGCTGTGGTACAGCAGCAGGAACAGGAGGACGGGGGTTCGGGCATTTTCGGCTTCGTCACGGTTCTCGAAGCGCAAGACCCAGCCCCGGGTGCGCACCCTGCTGAAGACACTACGGCCGAACAGGTCAGCAGCTGGACTGATCTCTTCAACACGGACAACTACGGCGCGATGGCCGATCTGGGACCTGACACAATCGGTCGAGACTTCGTCGGATGGACCTCGATGTACGATGGAAACAATATTGATGCCGGGGCGATGAACGAATGGCTGGACGACACGATTGACACTATCCGTAATAGCGGGCCACATGATACCGTGCTCGAAGTAGGCACGGGGAGTGGGATGGTCCTCTTCAATCTGATCCATCATCTTCGGCGGTATGTCGGCGTGGAGCCAGCGCGCAATGCAGTCCACCTTGTCACCGCGGCTGTCCAGTCAATCCCCGGGGCGGCGGAGAAGATTTCCATGCGAGTCGGCACGGCGGCGGACATTTGTCACCTCCAGAGCGACCAGTCGCATGATCTTGCCATCCTGAGCTCGGTTGCCCAGTACTTCCCCTCTCAAGGTTACTTGATGAAGGCGATTAAGGATCTGGTGCAACTGCAGGGTGTGAAGCGCATCTTCTTGGGTGACGTACGGTCTTATGCACTTTACCAAGAGTTCCAGGTGTCCAAGGTGTTGCACCGTCTGGGCGACGCAGCGACGGTGGACGACGTTCAACAGACCATTGCTGAGGCTCCTGGTGTGGAAGAAGAGTTACTTCTTGATCCTGCGTTCTTCACAATGCTACCAAGTCAGCTACCCGACCTCATCGAGCACGTCGAGATCTTGCCCAAGAAGATGGACGCAACAAACGAGCTGAGCTGCTACCGCTATGCAGCTGTACTGCATGCCCAGCAGGAAGAGCACCCGCCAGTCTAGATCCACGAGGCTCAGGAGAGCGACTGGATTGACTTTGGGGGCGCTGCGATGGATGACCAATCCCTCTTGGGGCTTCTGCAGAAGTCGACTCAGTCATCCCTGGTCGCTGTGAGCAACATCCCGTACCGGACGATCTTAGAAAGGCAGATTGTCGATCTTCTGGATGATCCGTCTGTGAATGTGCTGGCTGCCCGGAACCAGCGGCTCCAGACTCTCCGTCCCATGGACCAAACCCCTCCGTCACTTTCGCCGGTGGAATTGGTTGCACTGGCTCGGAAGACGGGCTTCGGGGTTGAGATCAGCTGGGCCCGGCAGCATTCCCAGCGCGGCGGACTGGATGCTATCTTCCACCGCAACCAGACGCAAAACGAGACAGGCCGAGTGCTCTTCCGATTCCCCACGGATCATGCGGGTAGGTCGCCTCGATCGTTGAGCAATCATCCTCTCCAACAGCGACAGAATCAGAAGACCGAGCGAGAGCTGCGGCAGATGCTCCAGGCCCGGCTTCCCCAGTACATGGTGCCCCGGTTGATCGTGGTAGTGGACAAGATGCCTCTCAACAACAACGGTAAAGTCGACCGCCAGGCGCTCGCAAAGCAGGCCCACGTGTGTTCCAGATCGAAGGTAATACCAGAGAGAGTAGCACCAGGCAATGATACAGAGGATACCTTGGCTCGAGTGTTTAACGACATTTTGGGGACAGAGATTGGCGTTACCGATAATTTCTTCGACCACGGTGGCGACTCACTGAAAGCCACCAAGGTCGTGACGCGAATCAACAACCAGCTGGACACTGCGATCACGGTGCGAGACCTCTTCCAACATCCCACCGTGGCGACTCTGGCTCTGGAAATGCAGACCTCGCTGCTCTCGAGCCCAAAGGTACAGCACCAGGATTTGCCACCTTTTTCCCTCCTGGACTACGACCCCTCGTCTCTCACCCCGGCCGAGCTTGGCGAGTTAGGGCTTACGTCGACAGACGCCATCCTCGACATCCTCCCGTTGACAGGATGCCAGGTCTGGTTTCTCACCCAATGGACCCCAGTGACCATCTCCTTCATGATCGACGGTCCCGTAGATCTCGACCGACTGCGAGCCGCCTGCCGTGCGGTGGTCCAGAAGCACAGCGTTCTGCGTACCGTCTTCACCAGGCTTCGGGGCAGTTTTGTCCAAGTGGTCCTCCGGTCTTTCGCGGAGTGCTTCTCCCACCGGTTAGCAGAACAACATACCGCGGACTCCTCCTTCTGCGCCGACTGTCCGGGCTGTGAGATCCCTAATCTCGGCCGTCAGAACCCTCTGGTGCTAGGCAAACCTCCCACGCGATTCACGCTGATCTCTCAGTCGCCCACGAAACACGCCTTTGTGCTCCAGCTCTCGCACGCCCAATACGACGGACTCTCGTTGCCTTGCCTGTCCTCCGACCTGACCACCGCCTACAGTGCCGGCGGCGTCCTGCCCTCCCCCGCGACCGCCGCTCCGTTCTCGCAGTATATGTATGGCCGCCACCAGCACCAGACGGCCGCGGCCTTCGACTTCTGGCGCCGATACCTCCGGGGCGCGACGATGACGACGCTCGCCGGCGTCTCGACCGCGGCCCCGGACAGCGATAGCATTACCGACATCAAAGAAACCGCGATCGACGCGCTCCCGCGCTGTCTACCGGGGATCAAACTCCCAACCCTCACGAACGCAGCCCTCGCCTTCACCCTAGCCCAGTACACCGACACCAACGACATCACCTTCGGGCTGGTGATGGACACGCGCGAGAACCCGGTGCGCGGCACAACCAGCATCCTGGGCCCGTGCATCAACATCAACCCGGTGCGCGTCCAGCTGCCGGTCGGAGCGGCGGGGTCCGTGCTGGACCTCTGCCACGCGCTGCACGAGCACTACGTCCAGATCTCGCGCCACAGCGTGCTGGATCTGGCCGACATCACCGCCCAGAGCACGCACTGGCCGCGCGGCACGCGGTTCGGGTACATCGTCAACCATCTGCCGGGCGAGGGGCCCCCGCCGCTCGCCTTCGACGGCACCGACACCGCGTTCCGGTCCACCGACCTCCGCATCCAGTTGCCCGACCAGGTGCTCATCCGGTCCATCGCGGCGGGCCGCGAGCTGAAGATCCAGCTCCTCACCTCCAGCGACGTGTTGAGCGCCCAGGAGGCCGCCGCGCTGGCGCGCCGTCTGCTGACCACCGTCCACCGGTTCGCCCAGTTCCCCAACACCCTGCTTTCGGCGCCGTGGCTGGCGCTGTAGGCTGTCGTGTGGTTGGTTGGTGGTTTTCTTCGATTGGAGAGTTGGAGATAGTCGACTTCATGCAGCCCATGGCATACTTGCCGCGCAGTTTAAAGCCCTGTTCTTATCACTGTGCGCCGCGGAGAATCGGCCTCGGTTCGAGGAGGGAAGGCTGCGATTGTCCGCTCCCCCGACCTGCCCTGGATTTGTTTCCTCAGGTCAATGTTCAAGCCGTGGTGATGGTCATCGCATGTACATCTCATCTGTAGATTCCCTTTCAGCTACAGTCGGTGAGCCAGGTGCATGCTTTCCATTCCCAGAAGTTCTGGCCGTTGAGTCCCCGGCCCGGTTTTCCGGCAGGTGCGGACAGCAAGGGGGTATATAAATTGTCAGATGGAGGGATGGAATGGAGTATTGCACCGGATAAGAGAGCATCGTGAGCCACGCGAGTTCAGAACAATGAAACCATCACCGATGTAGCAATAGTAGAGTCGGAAATAAGGCCTCCATCCCCCAACAAATAAATAAAGATTATGGCAGCATGGTCGCACAAGGGGGCGGTGGTCCAGACAACGACGGGTATTGCATGCTTTTGTACATGTAGCACAAAAGGTTAGCTAATTACATCAACCGGCAAGGTGGCCGAGCGGTCTAAGGCGTCAGGTTAAGGTCCACCTTAGCAGTCAGCTTTCCAAAGCTTCCTGATCATCGTCAGATGGCGTGGGTTCGAATCCCACCCTTGTCATCTCCTTTTTTGTCCGCCCGTCCCTCAGCTTCGTTTTCGCCTGGGCCAAATCATTGTTGTTGTCAGTTTTTGTCAGTCCTCTTCATTGATTTTCTACCTTTTACTCAAGCATAGATCATTTTCTACTAGTACCTTTTACTTCTCAAGCATAGCCAATCGGAACTGCAGGAATCAGCATCGAAGGACAGCAATCCGCTTTCCCCTCTTCACCCGTCATCCATGCATGTAGGTAGACACAGCCCTTAGCCCTATGACACACCAACCCTACAGAGAGCAATACACCCACTTCCAACCAGACCCCAGCCAAAGCTACAGTCGACACAGACACTCAGTAATACATCTCAGAGAGAATGAATTTGATTAATTTATACAACGAATCTAGTCAACACCCCAGCAGGCAACAACCACCACCCACCGAACCATCCACGTCTAACACACAACCACATCTAATCTGGTCATACCCCCCTGACAGACAGAATCTAGGCAGACTCCACGCACTGGGAGTAGTAAGGGTTCCACTGCTTGCAGGTCCAGCCATCAACGCAGGTGGTGGCACCGGTCCAGCCCTGGCCACCGCAGCGCTCGTACTTGCCGGCGGTGCCGGAGGCGGAGGAGGCAGAGGAAGCAGCGGCGGCGGCGGCGGCAGTGGTCTCGACAGCGGCAGCGGTGGAGGAGGTGGTCTCGGCGACGGCGGAGGCGGCGGCGGAGGCGGAGGAGGACTTGGTCTTGTTGCGGCAGGCAGTGGCCTTCTTGGTGGAGGCAACGGCCGTGGCGAAGGTGGTGGGGGCAGCGGTGGTGGTGGTAGGGGCCACGGCGGCGGCGGTGGTGGAGACGGCGGCGACGGCACCCTTGGTAGTCACGGCCTCGATGGAAGCCGAGGAAGAGGAAGAGGAGGTGGCAACAACGGCAGCGGCGGCGGAGGAGCTGGACGAGGAAGAAGAGGAAGAAGAGGAAGCAGAGCCAGAGCTAGTACCGTCCCAGACGGAGGGACCGGGGATGGGGTAGCTGTCGAAGGAGCCGTACATGTTGAAGAGGATACCGGGGTCGGTGGCGGAGTAGGCGCCGGGCAGGCTGACACCGTCGGGCAGAGTGTTGGCACCGTCGGAGGTGACCTTGAACTGGACACACTCCATGTAGAACTGGGCGCCGCCCTCGGTGTTAGCCTCGTGGAGGGCGATGATCTCCGGGCGGAAGAGGTAGTCGCCGGCGGGGACGTCGGGGACGGTGATGTTGTGCTTGCCGCGGTTGGCGATCAGGGTGTCGACGGCCCAGGTGCCGTCGGAGTAGCCGTCCTCGGCGATCTTGACCCAGTTCTTGCCGCTGCTGCCGGCGGTGGTCGGAGCCATGTAGACCATGACGGGGCCCTTGTGGGAGGAGGCGATGATGTCGTCCGAGGCGTCCCGGCTGTCGTGGTGCCACTCGAAGGTGACGACGTCGCCGCCCTTGACCGAGAGGGTCTTGGCCGCCGCCTGGTCGCCGTTGACGTTGCAGGTGATGTCGGTCGAGGTCACGTCCTTGACGGGGCTGTTGCTGGGGGGAGACCGGATGTAGCCACTGGCACTGTTGCCCAGGCCCTGGTCCTCGCCGTTGATCCAGACGGCGAAGACGGTGGCGTGGGCATCGACCATCTTGGCTGCTGCTGCCAGAGCGAGCATACCGAAAGTAGAGGACTTCATTTTGGAAGAAGAGTGGTGAAAAAGAAGGACTGAAAAATGAAGGGAAGGGAGTAAGTGAATGAATGAATGAATGGAAGGAAGATGACCTGCAGAAAAAGAATGAACTGCTATCCAAGCTGGAGAAGAAAAGAAAGGAAAGGCACAGCAGCAGTAGCAAGGAGAAGGGTCTTATATCAGGGCCCTTGGAGCAGGGTCTACTCCGGAATCCGTCCAGAGGATGAAATTCTGAATGCCGGCGAACTGGAGCGGAGCCCGCCAAGACGCGACGTTTCATCTTAAATGCTGCCCGCCTCCACCGGAGAGCGTCTGGCTCGCTCCCATCCGCCGAGGCAAGTTCCCTGCCAAGCCCTTTTGTGGCAGCGGCGGCTTGGCTTCATTCGAGACAGGATGCCAGCAGGCAAGACAGGACCCGGACGGGGTCCGGACGGGGCTCGGATGCCTCTCCTGGGTCTTACTCTCTAACTCGACACCGCCGCAGGCAATCTCCCCAAGGGCACCATGGGTGGTTCGATCGCTCTTGGCTGCTTGACTGGTCACAATTTCCGAGGGTGAACCTGGAATCTTGAAATCTTCCTGGGCCCTGGCCTCCAGGAGTACGGAGTAACGGGCGCGGTGAAGTCCCCAATGTGACAGCGTCTGGTGGCGTTGACCCCGATTGAGACCATGTCTTGCCCTAATCTGCCCGTTTGGTCTCGCCCGAAGGAATCCACCCAGAGGCCTTGGCGGACCCATCGCCCATGCAAAAACATGCCACAATCTCCCCTCAAACGCACTCGAAGGCTTCATGGAAGAGTAGTGAACTGCATTGTTCTTTTACGTCACTTAAGCACTCGAGTTGGTTGAGTCCAGTCCCAATCGAATGCGACCTCCGGAGTTCTGGATTGTTCCTGACCCCCCTCCTCCAATCCAAGCCAAGCCCATCTGGTCTGGAGCTAGGCAGATTGACCCAAGGCGCTTATATGTAGCATCGGAAAGTAAGTGGAGGAAGCTGGGAGCATTTGCAAAAGGAATGTCGCTCATTGGTCGAGAGTGGGCTTCTAGGCGCGCGCAATCAATGTGCATGAACTAGTTGTCCTAGAATTACCCCTGGAATTGATGAGTGCTGACAATAATAGCAGGTACTTTCTCATTGATCCATCAATCATTCAATACATCGTCCTTTCGGTTAGTTGTGTTAAAGGAGTACCCGGAGAAGTATTCCTCCTGTATGTCTGGTCAGTATCGGATATGATGCCGGCGGGCCCGGTGGGCATGCATCGGGAAAGCGTACGAAGTTGAAGAAGTCAATACCAGCTTTATCCAACCCAGCTAGTGATTTCAGGCAATATATGTAGGATCTTGGCGGATATATGAATGCACAAGCTGGTGCATGAAAATAAAGTATCCATTTCACTGGATGTGATGGGGTTCTTGCGGTCAAACCCCGGACAATGCGAACTCAAGGACAGCCCCTGATACTCGAGAACTTGGCATCTCTCTTCCTTTGGATTATCACACGGCATCTTTCAGAGATGTGCAATTTCCGCATAATCTCATTGGCCCAATGCTTCACCCGGTTGTGGGCCGTCTATAATCGCGGGCCACTTTCGCTCATGCAATCCATCTATAATTGTCAACCAATTATCTGAACCATCATTGCACCTTTTCCATACCACTCGTCGTTACGTGCGCCATGCACTGCGGGCAATTTATGGTCTAACGCTCGAACAAGGGCGATAGTACCACCCGGTCGAACACTTCCAGGGCTGGGACGCCGGATGTTGCTAGAAGCCCAAGTAACACCGCAAACACCCAGACTCTACCATACACCTGGCTAGGCTGCGGTCGCAAAGGAAAATAGGCGAGCAAGTCACCGACAAGTCAACTTCATGTATTCCATGCTAGTCTCACACCTCACAGCTTCGAACCGCCTTCCCAGCGACGCGACCCTAGTACGCAGCATAGATGAAAGCCAACTGATCGATCTCATCGCCATCCTGCCCCATATACCCCACAATGGCATACCCGTCATCCGCGGTAAAGGTGGTACAGTTGCTCGTCGTGGTCCCGGCCTCCAGGACATTGCCAGCGCTCGTGGTAGCCTTGATATAGAAGTTGCGGGTGTGGCTGTTGTACTGCCCGGTGCACAGCACCGCCTGGGTCCAGTGTTCGCCGGTGCCCAGCGTCAGCGACGCGGCCGTCCCGCCGGTGCCGCCGTGGCTAAAGGTGGTCCCGTCCGTCAGCTTCAGCGCAACCGCGTCGAGCCGGTCGGCGCCGCGGAAGGTCAGCACGGAGGCCACCGGCGCGGCGGGCAAGCTGGGGAGGTCGTTGAACCAGTCGCCGTGCGGCCCGCCGGAGAACTCGCTCTGGCGGAGCGACGAGGACAGCGTCCAGCTGAAGTCGACCAGCACCGGATTGTGGTCAGAGAGCACATCCCCCAGATACTCCGGGTTGGTATTGAGGAATTCCTCGCCGTCGTAGCGGAAGCTGTCGGCCGCCAGGGTGACGAGGCTGGAGCCCCGGTACAGCACCTTGTCCACCGTCTCGCAGGTTTCGTTCGTGGAGGGGTTGTCGCACATCAGCGAGTCCGCGCCCGCGGTCGGGTACACCCCGCCCATCTCCAGCTCGACCCAGACGTCCGTGAGACTGTTCTGCGACTTGAAGACGCGGATGCCCGTGTCGGCGCTGCGCGTGTAGCGGCTGTTGGTGTCGCCCATGATGACCACGGCGTTGCCGGTCGACCAAGTGTCGATGTAGTCGGCGACTTGTTGGAGGTTGGCGTTACGGGC